GGAAAAGACTTTATGAACAAAACCTCAGTAGCACAGGAACTAGCACAAAGAATCAACAACTGGGATCTCATCTTATTAAAAAGCTTCTGCACTTGCAAGAGAAACCACCAACAGAGTTAAGAGACAACTTACAATGTGGGAAAAAATTTTTAGCAGCTGTATCTCAGACAAAAGACTACTATGTAGAATATATAAAGAACTGAAAATAATCAGAACCCCCAAATTCAAAGACCCAATTCAATAATGAGCATCTGAAATGAACAGACATTTCTCAGACAAAGAAGTAAAAGCAGCAAATAAACATATGAAAAAATGTTCACATATCACTGGTCATTCGAGAGATGGAGATGAAAACCACACTGAGATTCCACCTCACTCCAGAAATAATGGCTGTAATCAAGAAATCAACCAATAACAAATGCTGGTGGGGGTGTGGGGAGGAAAGAGCCCTTCTCCATTGTTGGTGGGAGTGCAGACTGCTGCAACCACTGTGGAAATCACTATGGAGATACCTCAAAGAATTAGGGTTAGAGGTACCATTTGACCCAGCTATTCCTCTGCTGGGTATCTTCCCAAAAGAATTAAAAGAATCATACCACAGCAATATATGTGCACCTATGTTTATAGTGGCACACTTTGTGATAGCTAAAGCTTGGAAACAGCCCAAGTGCCCATCAGCTGGAAACTGGATAGAGAAGATGCAGGGTTTTTTTAATAAAATGGAGTACTACTCAGCCATAAAGAACAAGAAACTAGAGACATTTATAGCTAAATGGATGCATATTGAGCCCTTACTCTTAAGTGAAATAAATAGGACACACATGGGTAAATACCGAATAGTTTCTCTAGTGTGAGAAACTGAAAGTGTAAATAAGGACTAAAACAATTAAAATGAATAATTGATAATTTGAAATAGGAAGAAAATGTCCAAAGGGGTAGGGGAAGTGGGAGGGGAAGGGGAAGGAAAGAAGGGAAAGGAAAAATTATGAGAAAAGAAAAAAATGGAAACAAAGTCTATGTAAATAGGGAAGGGTTGTGGGACTGCAAAACCTTGTAATCTTAGAATTCTTGTAGCCCTGACTGCAATTAAATGTGAGCTAATGATTAAGAAGCTTGTTAGTTCTGGGAAGCTAGATAAAATTTGTAACAGACATAGAGTTTTAAAGGTAAATTACTCAACTCCTTGTTTGCCTGGAGAACGGACGTTCCCGGACCCACTATCTGTAGGACAATCCATCAATGTGTCTGCCGACCATCAGTACGTGACAGTCGTGACCATTAGTGTGTGTGTGTCTGCCAACCATCAGTACGTGACAGTCAACCACTAACCCTTGTTTCTTTTCTCTTAAATCTGCATGTTAACCTCCCCCTCAACCCCCTATAAAAACAGCCCCGGACTCTGAGCCAGTTGCCTCTCTAAACTACTTTGCTTTGGGAGTGCCGTCTGGCCAGACTAATGAAGGTCTGTTTTACTTTCCAACTTGTCCGGTGTGCTCCCTCCCGGGTGTTCTTCGCTACAGTCAGCTCCTCGGAGTGTTTGGTAAGATCCATGGTCTTACAGGGTGGAGGGAGTGAAGGGAGAACAGGGAATGGGGAAAAAATAAGAACCAAGATGCATCATGTACAGGTACAAGCACCCAATGATAAATGTAAACATATTATATACCTAAAATGTGCCAATAAAAGAATTTAACCAGGCCGGGGATTTAACTCAGTGGTTCCGCTGCTTGCCTTGCAAGCGCAAGGACCTGAGTTCGGTCCCCAGTACCAAAAAAAAAAAGAAAGAAAGAAAGAAAGAATTTTACCAAAAAAGAAAAAGAAACCCACCATGCTGGTGTCTCTGGGACTCCAGCACCATGGGTAGAAAAAAAAAAGAGAGAGAGTGAATAAGAAGAGTTAAACTATTAAAAGACTTTTGTGTAATTTGGAATATGAAAAAATACTAATTCAAGATCATTAGTAGATACATTTTGGAATTTCTAGGGTGCTCACTAAAAGAATGAAACTAAAATATATGACACAACAAGCCACTGAGAAAGAAAATGGGATAATGAAAAAAACTATGCATGACCAATACCAAAAACAAAGACAGGAAAGGAAGAATATAAGGAAATAGAATAGATGAGACAACTAGAAAAACTAGCAAATAAATAACATAATAATACAGGAGTCTAAAATAACATAACAAAAAGAAACACACACAAATGCACACTCAGAGTTGGAGATTTTACATCTTGGTAAATGACAACACAGCAGTGAAAATGTGAAGATTTTGTTTAGCCGTTAGCCAGCTTGTTCTAACATGCGTTGACCACAGAATAGCCATTATTTACAAAGATACGTGGATTATTTATCAGAATAAATCATAACTTGGTCAATAAAATAAGTCTCAGCAAAAAAAAAATCTTGGGACCGGGGATATAGCTCAGTGGTTCCGCCGCCTGCCCTGCAAGCGCAAGGACCTGAGTTCGATCTCAGGTACCAAAAAAAAAAATCTTGCCCTTTCAAACACTGAAACGATATAGCCTATGTTTTCTGACAACAATGAGGTCAAACTAGAACTCAATGGCAAAAATAATACCACTGCCCCAGAGGCTTGAAAATTAAGCAACATACTTCTAAATATCCCAGAGGTCAAAGAAGAAATCGCAAAGAAATGAAATAAGAAACGCTGGCAGTTTGAACTGAATGGGTATCATCTCACAATGTGTAGGGTGCTTGGAGAGAAAATTATAGCTTTAAATGCACAGGTTACAAGAGAAGAAGTTGGAAACCAATGATCTAAGCTTTCAACACAAGAAGGGAATAAAAAACAAAAAGAAAGGGGAAGAAAAAAAAAGAAAAGGGAAGAAAGAAAATAATGAAGCTATAAAAAGAAGCCCAATGAAATGAAATTCAGACAAATAAGAAAATTAATAGAAGCAGGGCCCAGGATTTAGCCGCTGCTTGCCTCCCAAGCGCAGGGTCCCGAGTTTGATCCCTGGTGCCAGAAAACCCAAGAAAATCAAGAGAAGCAAAAGCTGATTCTTATCAAAGTGTTGATTAAATTTCTGGGGGAGATGAAGGTGAAAGAGAGAGAAGATCAGGAGACAGAGATGGGGAGGGGAAGAGGAAGGGAGACGGGGAGAGAGACAGAGAAGCAGGGAGGACACACAGCTCAGCACTGACTGCCCCAGGTATTAAAGGACCACAGGAGCATCCTGCGCACCTCACCCTGGGCGCCCGGAAGTGAGCATCTGAGGGAGGAGAGTGATCAGAGATTTGACCACATGCAGGGCCTACTGCTCCATCCACGGCAACCTTCACGACCCAGTGTGCATAATGATGACCTGGACTCTTGGGAAACTCCCAGACCGGGAAATCCCGGGCCTGATCCTAAAGCACAAGCACCCCTGCAGGCTCCTGTGGATCCACCTGGATGCAGGTGTGAGTCTCACCCGGCAGCTCAGAAGGGAGATCTGCAGCCAGACCGCCTGGGTGAGGCCAGCTCCACCCCTCCCAGCTGTGTGCCCTCAGGCACCTCCTTGGCCTCCCTGTGCCCGTGTTTGTGTTTCCTCACCTCGTATAAGGGGATGCTGAGGGCACCCCCTCTGAACACCTGGGGCTGTGGAGAGGACAGGGGGTCAGGGCCAGCACTATAGGAAGCAGCAAGTCAGCTTACCTGGGGGCCACTGCCGGGGCTCTCAGAGCCGTCCCCGGCCCACAGAACACCAAGTCTTTTCTCCTCTTTTTCCAGATTCGTTTCTTTTCCTGCTGCCCCCTCAGTGCTTCCTTGCAGCGCACTGGGTCCCTCTGATTGCTCCAGCGATGGCCAAGTGGGGGAAGTAGCAGCACATCTGGAATCCTGTGAGTCTAAGGAGAGGCCTGTCTGCCCTCCGTGCACAACCACTTCCTCCTCTAAGGGGGCCCCTCCGACTCTCAGGATCAGGGGCCCTGAGGCTCCGGTCACCTCTTTGTCTGCAGTGCGCACCTTGTCCCCTGTCCTTGTGGTGTTTCCCTGGGGGCGCTGCCCCCTGCACACCAAAAGCCCCATATTGCTGCTCATCCGCAAGGCAACTTCCCGCTCTAGCCCTCGGACACTGCGAAGAAGATGCTCATTCTCCCTCTTGAAGGCCTGCAGCGTGTCTTCTATGGCCAGCTCCACCTCTCTTAGCAGCTCCTTATACCTGGCCCCAAGCCGTGACAGCAGCACCTTGAGCTCCCTGTTTCCCAGGGTGACACCATCTGTCTCCCCTTGAGGCTTCCTCTTGCGCTCAGACATGGCTTCCTGCAGCTGTGCCCGGCCCCCTTTCAGTTTCTCGTTCTCCTCCTCGAGCTGCATGATCTTGCCATAACTCTCGCGGTTGCAGGCCTCCAGGTCGGAGATGGCCTGCAGACACGGGCTGAGCTTGCCCTGCAGATGCGCCAGGTCCGCCGCCAGCTCCCGGTTCACCTGCTCCAGCCTGCATATCTCGGCGGCGTCTCTCGCCCTCGCTTTTTCAAGGTGGCATGCTTTACGAGGGCATCTGTCCTGGTCACCAGGAAGTGTGGCGTTGTCACATGCGGCCTGCCTTCTCTCCTCCTTCAGTGCAGAAAGGAGCTGATGAAACCTGTCCCTCGCCCTCTCCAGTGCCGGCCATGGCTCTGCAGGGCCCAGGCTGGCTGTGTTGCAACTGGGCACCATCCCTGGAACAGCCCCGCTGGTGCAGGAGGCCCTGTTCTCCTGCAGTCTGACACCTTCGCCACCCACCTTGGGCTCTCCTTCTGCGGCAGGACAGGCATCCCAGCCCTGGCTTGTCACATCCTGCTGAGAATAAGCGCACTCCTCCCCACCGCTGTGCCATCGGGAAGCAAAGCTCCAATTCTCTCCTGCCAAAGCAGACATCTTCCACCGGTTCCCCCTGCTGCCAAGGTGTAGGGTGTGCAGCTGCTGGAAACAAGCCTCCACCTCCCTCTCAAATGCATCTATTTGCAGAGCACACCTGTCTTGTCCCTCGCCCCAGGGAGAACCAGCGGCTTCACACCTGGCAGCGGGCACAGCTGGGCTGGGAAGCTGCAGCTGACAGTGCTCTCGGGTACAGAAAAGCTTTTCCTGGCCTGCGAGCGCCTGAGGGCCGGGCTGCCCGGGGACACGGCTGCGGCCCAGACTGGACACATCTCCAGGCGGCGCCTTCTCTTCCTCTGGTCCCGCCCGTGCCCTTTCCTCCTGCAGAGGCAGTGCACTCCCAAAGTACCGCTTCCGGTCCTCCTTGTCCTGCAGCGTCCTCTGGGGGGCCCTGCCCTGCCCCGCAGTGAGCTGGTCATCACCAAGCTGAGACGTTCCAGTCCCCCGGGCCCTGGAGCCTGTGGCCAGGGGCACCACTTCCTCTCCTGATGACAGCTCTTCCGGGAAGCCCCAATCACTTCCTTCCACCCTCCCGCTCCTGCTCAGGGACTGGGGACCCTCGAGGGCCACTCCCTGCAGAAGAGGCACTGGATGCTCCTGCCAGGGCCACAGGCAGCAGGCGGTGGCCAGGGTATCCGGAGCCCCAGTGTCACCCTGCTCAGCCTCAGGGGCTTGGATCACGCTCCCTGGGCTCAGGTCCTTGCAGCCTTCCTGTCCCAGCTGCCATCTGTCACCGTGCTCTCCCTCTGCCCTGTCAGAAGTCCCCCTCGCCGCCCCGTCCTCTGCTGTCCCCACTGGGGTCCATCCTCCCCTGTTCCAGGCACCTTGGAGACTCCCGGGCCCCGTCCTCAGAGATGGGTGGTTGGAAGTCCATGGCGACTCCTGGTGGAGGGAGGCATGGTGGCTCCTTGTCGGGTGACAGCCCCCGCCAGGGTGTGCCGTGGGCCTGGTGCCCAGCTCTTCCTGGGCTTGGAGCCTTTCTGGAGGCGCCTCCCGGAGTGGCAGCAGCAGCAGGGTCTCAGCATCCCTGGCCAGCCCCCAGGGAGGGAGCGTGGACGCCTGCACTGGGACCGAGCGCTCCTGGGCAGCCAAGAGACTCTCTAAAATCCGGGCCAGGTCGGCGGGGAGGAGCGAGCCTTCCACAAACTGGCCTGAGGGGCAGCCCCACACCAGGACGAGCAGCTGTCCATCCAGGCTGTGCTCCGCTGGAGAGAGCTGCAGGCAGAAAGGGGAGACCGGGTGTGACGCACCCACTGCTGCTGGCCACAGCCCCACCCCCTGTTCCCTGTGTGTCCTCACCCAGCGGCACTGTGTCCAGCTCTCCCCACAGGACTTTGCATCGGCTCTCTCCTCTGCACAGCACCTCCCCACGGTGCCTGCCCAGATTCCTTCCCAAGCCAGCTCAGAAGCCACTTCTTCCCCAAGGCCCCTGGTCACAGCAGCTCTGTCTGCCATTCACCCTCTCACGTCCCCTGCTTCTCCCTTCTCTCTGCCTCCTGGCTGCCATGGGTTGAGCAGCTCCTTCACCCACCCCTTCCACCATGATGTTCCTGCCTTGGGCCCAGCCAGCCATGGTCTGAACCCTCTGAAACCATGAGCCGAGTAACCGGCTCCTCCTTTAACTCGCTGAGGTTAGGGATTGTGTCCCAGCAATGGGAAGCTGCTGAATACACACAGCACACTCAGCTCTTTTCCCACTTAAGATGGATCAGTGCCCTGTTCTGCTCAGAACCACAGAACCACCCTGGCGCTGGGGAGAAACGCCAGCCAGCTCAGCTCTGTTCTTTAGCAAGGGGAAACAGACGTGGAGAAAGGGAGTGACCCAGGCCAAGCAAGAGGAGACCTTGGCTCCTGACCCAGAGGGGCAGCGAGGGGGGCGTGAGGAGGGAGTCTGCCGCTTTGGGCGCCCCAGGGCTGGGTACCCCAGGGAGGCCCAGCTCCTTCGGGGTCGGGTCCTCCTCCAGGGTGACATGAGGCCCCAGCACATGGCAGCCGAGTCTTCACACAGTTGGGCTCTCCTTCCTCCCCCTCCCTAGCAAGTCTCAAGACGGCACCTTCCATCCCCAGATCTCCTCCCAACCATTTCTAGAAGGTTGTTCCCAACCCAGAGCTCCCCCTCAGCCAGCCTCCTGCAGCAGCCACACTGCTGTGTGCACAGTAGGACCGACGGGGTCCGCGCAGCAGCCCTCTCTCCTCACCTGTTCACAGCCAGGCCCTGCCCAGTCTCCCGGGAACTCGCTCATTCTCTCCAGGGCTGGCGCCATGACACGGGGGCTCTGTCCACCTCCAATGCAGCTGCAGGTGCAGGGTCCCTCCAAGAACCGGCCTGGGAGCAATGTGACACAGAGGTGCCGAGCGTTAGAGCTAAAGCCCCCTAAAGCTCGTGTGCTCACGAAGGCAACTGGACCACAAAGGGCTCTGACTTCATCAGTGGATTCATCCATCAAGGGGCTCATAATTTGATGGCACTATTGGGAGGGATGGAAACAGGAAGTAGGGCCCATGTGGATGCCGTGGGTCAGGGGCCATGACCTTGGGAGTGTATTGGGCCCCTGGCCCCTTCTCCTCTGGCTCTTTCCCCCTCTCCTCTCAACCATGATGTTTCTGCCTCACCACAGGCCCAAAAGCAATGGGGCAGCTGACCATGGACCAAATGCTCTGAAACCATGAACCAGAACAGCCCCCTCTTCTCAGCTGCGTATCTCAGGCATTTCATCACAGGAACAAGCAGCGACTCAGACAAGGTTAGGGAGCCTCTCCCACCAGGGACCACGCCAACTGTGTGAGGATGAGACAGCCCCTGCTGACCTTGAGCCCACAGTGCAGGCAGCCTGATGGTCCCCACCCTTGTCACGTGAGAAAACAGGCCCCGAGAGGTGGCAGGACCATCAGCCCCCAGGAGGGTCTCCACGGCACCTCCCCCGAGCACAGCACTCTACATGGACAGAGTCCGGGACTCTTCCAGACCTCCACGTTCCCACAGCTGTCCCCAGGGTGGAAACCACCCCACTGAGGGGGTGTAAGGACAGGGAACAAAAGCAGCCTGCTCTGATCAGACCTGGGGTGACTACAGCTCTGCTCCCCAGAAAGGGGCTGAGGGCCGCAGGCTGAGCAGTTGGTAGTGCAGATAATACACAACACAAATGCAGAATGCGCAGCGGGGAGCGGGGAGCGGGGAGCGGGGAGCGGGGAGCGGGGAGCGGAGAGCCATGCCTGGTCTGCCATGAGAGATAACGGCAACCCAAGAACAATGCCGCATGCTTGGGATCCCAGCCAGCACTCTGGGAGGCTGAGGCAGGAGGATGGCAAGTTTGAGCCCAGCCTGGGCAACTTAGTGACTTGGTGAGACCCTGTCTCAGGAGAAAAAATAAAAAAGGGCTGGGGATGGAGCTCAGTGCAAAGGCCCTGGGTAAGACACTAGAGAAAACAGCTCATACGACAGACTCATCAGAGCCAAGGGGCTGCTGAGCCCTAGCAGTTCCTGGGCATGCCAGGTGGCTCCCTCCCTCACACTTGAGCCGTCACCAGGCCATCACGCACATGTCCCCTGGTGTGGCAGGTCCCCTGGATGGCACCCCTGGGGCTGTGTGTAGCTGAATCTCAGTCTGAGACCCCTGTGTGGGTGCTGCACACTCTGATCCTGCCTTCACCAGCTGTGAGCCACCAAACAAGTGGCACTAGCTGTCCGAGCCTCCGTTTCCCGTCTGTGGAGAGGGCGAGACTGTGCTCTCCTCCTGCACCACCAGGACTCATGAGGCCTGAGCTCACCCAGGCTGGGGGTCCTGAAGGCGCCCTGTCGTTCCCGAGCTGTGGCCCCCACAAACCTGCTGAGGCCTGAGGCCTTTGGGCCTCCTCCTGGGGGCCGTGGGTCCTGCTAGGGTCCTGCTGCTGGGACAGAGGTGGAGAGTCGGCCTGCAGACAGCCCAGGGTGGCCTGCAGGGAGACAGAGGTTAAGAGAGGCCCACGTGTCCACACCACACTTGTCCTCACAGGTCCCCCCCCAGCTAGGCGGCCACAAAGGGCAAACAGCCTGGCCCCTGTGCCCCTGGCCCACAAGGCTACCCTGCTCCTAGGGCACGGGGCTCCCTCAGCAGGTGACAGGGGTGGCACTCTTCTCACCGAGTCTGTCTCCCCACCCGAGGCACCGAGCTCCGTGCAGGGCAGCGTGCCCAGCCCCTCCTTCCTGTGTGGCTCTGCAACCCCCGGGGACCCGGTGTCTGCGCAAGGGCTGACTTCTGAGTGCCCATCCTGTCCTTCCGCTGTCAACAAGGCCACGGCAGGGACCGGGCAGTGCCCTCTCCCCTGGGCTCCCGGGGGGCAAGCCGAGTGCAGACCCCACATTCAGACCCACTCCCTCGGGGCCAGTCGAGGCCCTGGCAGCAAACAGGGGCTCAAGGCAGGTCTCCCTGTCCCCACCGCACAGGGCGCCACCCTCAGGCGGCTGCTGGCTGACACCCTCCTTCCCCGGGACCTTGGCTGCTGCCCCCCCGGACAACCCCCCTCCCTGGCACCTGGCTCCAGCTCCTCTCTGCTCCCCTCTAGCACTGAGCAGAACTCAGGCTGACACAGAACCCAGAGCAAGCTGTTCCCTGGTTCTGAGCTCCCTTCGTCCCTGCAGACAGAGCCCCTCTGCACCCCACCCAGTCTGGGTTCCCACACAGACCTCGGAGCCAGGCTGAGGCCCAGGCCACGTGGATCCGAGGGGCACTGGACAGGCCCGGGGCCCTGAACCTCAGCTCCTCATCTGCAGATGAGGCTTGGTGACAGGCCTCTCCGGAGCACCCCTGTCATGATCCGGTGCTAAGGAGACTCCAGAAAAGCACCTGGTGCCCACAGAAATGCCGGCAGATCCTCAGCGAGACTCCCCGGCCTTCCTTGACCATCCCCCAAGTTCGGTCCCCATTGCCCTCCCTCAAGGGCTCTGGTCCCAGCCTGTGACATCCTGCTTCTCTGTATGACGGTTTGTGCTGTATCTAGGTCTGCCCGTGAATCGGGACCCCAATCCTGGCCACAGAATAGAACCACCCGGAATCTCTCAGCACATGCCAAGGTGGGACCCTCAGGCCACACCCACACCCACCAGAGGGCTGGGGCACTGGTTCAAGTCCTGGCGGCACCTGCGCTCTGTCTCTGCCTCTCATCCCCTCGTGCGGGCCTCACTTGATGGGAACTGAAGGCGCCTGTCCAGGGTGAAATATCCCTCATTCAAGTGAGAGGGAAAAGAACCCCGGATGAAGGAGAGAGGAGAGGCAGGCAGGAAAGAAGGTGAAGGAGAAAGGAAAGAGCGAGAAAATAGGGTGGAGAAAGGAAGAGTCAGAAATTAAAACTGACAAGGCGAGAGAAGCTGGCAGAAAAGGGAGAAGGGGCCGGGATGGGCGCAGTGTCAAAGGCCCCGTCACTTCTCAGGAAGGGACACCTGCTCACCATCGTGCTGGACCCAGGCCCTGCTCAGATTTTGTTTCAGTACCCAGGTTGGTGTCAGAGCAACTCCACCAGGGCATAGTGACCAGCTGTGTGGCAGGGCCTGTCCCAGAGCTGGGGGCCCGGTCAGGCACAGCACATATGCGTTCCTGTGCGTCCCGGACGAGGCTGTGCTGAGGGTCCCGCTGTCCAGTCAGCTGGCTTCACTCGCTACCGAGGAAATCAGTCCTCAGAGATGGGGAGCAAGCTCGCCTGGTCACACAGCCAGTGGGCAGGAGCAAAACCGGCGCTCGCGTCTCTGAGCCTGGCCCTGAACTCCTCCCTCCTTGCACTGCACTCCGGTCAGCCCTGTCACGTGTCCTGCTTCCCAACACCGGAGGAGAGAAACATCTGCCCGGACCTTCGTCCAGCTCACGCCTGAATGTGCATTTTTTGTTTTGGGGGGGTTTTGGCAGGGTCTCTCCCTTAATAGTTCAAGCTGGCCCTGAACTCACTATGTAGCCCAGGCTGGCCTCAAACTCGAGGTGATCCTCCTGCCTCAGCCTCCCGAGTCCTGGGATCACAGGCGTGCGGCACCACATCTAGCGAATGTGCATTTTTGGAAAGCAAAGCAAATGGTAGCGAAAGAGCAATAGGATGGTCTTCGGCAGAGCCTCCTGTGTCGGAACAGCCCTGGCTTTTTCTCTGCAGATGTCTCCCCATGCAGAGGCCCTGTAAATACTCTGTCTGTACAAAGTGCAAATTTTCGCCGAGTGTGGTTTTTTAATATTTCGGCAGGATCATTTCTCACCTGGTCTTTCTGCTGAGCAACTCTGTGCGCCTGCTGAGATTCCCTGCCATGTAGCGTCCCTAAAGCCACCAAGCCGGCTCCCTTAGGGAAATCTGGGTGGTTCCAGACTGTGCCCACCACGGGCCGCTGGGGTGGGCGTCACAGCTGCCTGCTCCTGCCTCCTTTGCATGCGTTCATGGGAGTCACGTCAGGCCAGGCTCTGTAAGGGCTTTACTACTCACTGATGCCCCCAGAGACTGATGCCCACTGATGCCACTGTTATACTCTAATGGCTCAGATTCTCCACAACGGGGGAGCCAAATATAGCAGAAAAAATGGAATCCTGAGAAATCTTTTTTAAAAATTCTTTCACCCCATAAATGTATACAATTAAAAATAATTTTGACTTAAAGAAAGAGGAAGTCTCCAATCCCGTATCATTTTACCAGTGCAAGCTTCCACCTCAAGAATCTCAAAGATGAGCAAAATAGACCCAAAACATGCAGAAGGGGGAAATGACAAAGGTGACAAAGTGCACTCTGACTTTATGTCTGCACGGTGGCTCTGACTTCGAGCGTCCACAGTAGGGTTGCGGTTTCTCCAAGCCTGGCTCCCTAATGCAAGTCCATGTCCCCTCAGAATGAAGCCACTCCTGCAGCTGCCACCAGGGGTAGCGCTCTGCAAGCTGTCAGGGCAGGGAAGTCAAGGAGCATCCGGCGAAGCCCCTGCCGCCCTCTAGCGGCCTGAATCGCCACTGTCCACACCTGAACCAATGTCCCCGTGAGGCTTGGAAGAGCCGGCCAGGTCTCACTCTGCTCTCACTCTAACTCAGGCCATGGCTCCCGAGCCCGGGGTAGTGGAGTAAAGTCTGCGCCCTTTTCAGTTCTGCTTCTTTAATTAGCTTGAGTGAGTGACTTTATCTCCCTGCCTCGGTTTCCTCATCTGCAAAATGAAGCTCACTATTTAACGACCCCATAAGCTTGTCGGGACACAGCATGCTGCTGTGCCAGGTGAGGATAAGTCCCAGACGGACATCAGCCTCCTCGGTGGTGACGTGTGTGACACACTTGTGTCCCAATTTCTCACTGGTCTTCTCTGCACCACCATTTTGAGGTGTTCACTTGGGCCGGAAGTGAACCAGTGAGCCCGAGCCATCTTAGAGTCACTTTCCCACTGAATCACCTATTCCCCAAGTCTGTGTCGGGGGGGGGGTGGATTCTGAGCTGAGCTGCACCCACAGCCCAGACACGAGGAGGCCCATAGCTGCAGGGGTGGGTGAGCAGCTGGCATAATGAAGGTTAAGGCAGCCAAAGAGGGTCACAGCGTGGAGGGGCGCTGCAGAGCCATCCTGAGGTGAGGGAGGTCTTCCTGGAGCAGGTGGCGGTCCCCAGGCCTGACGGAGTGGCTGGTGGAGGCAGGGGAGACCTTCGGATCCAAGGAAGCTGCAGGTTGCAGGGCTTGGCAAACTCGGGGCCCGGGAGAGCACAGCAGGGGACAGGGAGCCGCTGAGCTCAAGGAGGAGGCCTAGGCCAGAGCACCAGGGGCCTCGAGTGCCATGTTTAGGAGAGGAGGTCCCACAGGGGGACCCAGGGGCTTGTCAAAGAGACCCCTGGTGGTCGCTAGTTACCAGAGAAAGCTGCTGAAGACCGGAGTGGCCTCTCACAATGCCCCGGCAGCTTCGCAAATTCACAGAGGACCCGTGACACTGTGGGACTTGACCCAGAAGCTGCCAGCATGGACCATGGAGGCTGTGCAGCTCCACCCAGGCAGGGAGCTTAGCACCCAGCTTGGCAGCTTCCTCACCAGCAGCTGCAGCTGGGAGTGTGGCCCCGCCAGCTCCCCAGAGCCCCGGTGGCCAGTGGCCCTCTGCTGCCCACCACACTGCAAGGCTGGGCTATCGCCGCCCTCCAAGAAAAGCCTGCCCTGCAGACTGGGTCCAGCCCCGTGCCAATACCAAGGCCTTCAAGGGGTCCCCAGTCCTTTCTTCTGTCCCTGCCGTCTTCCTCGGGCTGTTTCATCACGCTGTGAGGGCAGGGCCTTGTCTTAGTCCCCTTCCTGTCTGAGTTCGGGCCAGAGCTGAGCATGGGCACCAAGAGGACCTCAGTAATACTGACCAAGCTGCATCGCTGGAGTGCAGGCCATGCGAGGTCCAGAGCCTGGCCATGCCTTGCTATGGCCCTGGTGTCTGTGTCCTCACCCCCGATTTGTGTTCACCCTAAACCCGCAGTGTGACAGCAGTAGGAGGTGGAGTCTCTGGGTGGTGATCCGGTCACAGGCATGGAGCCCCCCAATGAGATGAGTGCCCTTATGCCCTCCTGTCCTGTGCACAGTGAGAAGGCACCACCGTAGCCAGGAAGGGGGTGGTGTGGCTCAACATCCACACCTGTCACAAATACCAGAGATACAAACTTAAAAAGAAGAAAGGTTTATTTTGGCTCACAACTTTGGAGGTTTCAGTCCATGGGTCCATGGTCTTTGGCTCTGTTGCTTCTGGACCTGTGGCAAGCCAGCCATCACGGCAGGAGGCGTGTGTGGGGAGGAGGGGGCTCCTCTCGAGGTTCCCAGGAAGCAGAAGGAGAGAGGCAGAGGAGCCAGGTCCCGATGTCCCCTCCGAGGGTGCGCCCCAGTGACCTAACTCTCTTGTCTCCTAAAGGTTCCCTGCTTCCGCGATGCCACCGCTGAACACCAAGCCCCTGACACCTGGGAATTGGAGACACCGATTCAAACCCTGCAGGTGCCTGGATCTCGGATGTCCAGGCTCTAGAACTGTGAGGAACAAACATCTGTTGTTTAAGCCATGCAGACCTTGTAAACTTGTACAAAGGGACTAAGACGCGACACTTACTATCTGCAGGTCAGGCACCTCCTTCTCTGTACAATGGGGCCAAGGCCAGCAGCAGCGCCTAGCGCACGGCCGCCGTTGATACTGTGTGGGACTTTCCAGGGCCACTGGGCACAGCGGGAGACAGAGCTCACACTCTGGCCGGCACCAAACCGCAGCCCAAGGTGCTCAGCAGCTTTCAGATCCTCACAACAGCGCACGCAGAGGAGTCCTTTATGGGCTGAATTGTGTTCCCCACAACTCCTATGTCAAAATCTCGACTCCTGGTCCTCAGAGTACGATCTTATTTGGAAATGGGGTCGTCGTGGATGTTCACAGTCACGATAAGGGGAGGGGTGAGCCAAGCCAGCATCCTCACACAGCGAGCTGAGCTGCGTCTCCCCAGTCGCTGAAGTCCTAACGCGTTTCCTTGTTTGGAAATGAGGGCTCTGCAAGGTGACCAGGCTGAGGTGAGGCCCCGGTGGGGCAGACCGGCACTGACTCCATGAGGTCCGCGTCTGCACGCGAGGAGACAGGAAGCAGACGCGGGAGGAAAGACCCCACGTGAGGCCGCAAGCACAGCCCGAGTCCACCGGCCGACCGGAAGCGGGAAGAGGCGAGGAGCCGGCCGTCTCCTGCCCCCTCTCGATTTCACTTCTCCTCCCGGACCAGAGAGGGCAAAGGTCTGTCGCTTCACCACCCAGTTTGCGGCGCTCTGTGGCACGTGTTGCAGGACACTGCCGCGCCGGGCCCCGTCTCTTCCCTGTAATCCTAGCACTTGGGAGGATGAGGCAGGAGGACCTCCGGAGCTGGAGACCAGCCTAGGCTCCTGAGTTCAAAGTCTGCCTGAACTACATAGAGAGACCCTGCCTCAAAACCAAAAAAGGAAAAAGAAAAAGAGAAAAGCGCACGGTCACTCCTGCCCCGGGTTACGGCCACTTACCGGGCTGGAGCGTCTGGCGACCAGCTGCTCCCGCAGGCCGCGCTTCTGCTCGGCGAGCTCCGCCTCCCCGGCCCACGGGCCAATCTCCGACAGCCGCAGCCCGGACACGCGGCCAGGCAGCGCCCCCAGCGGCCTGCGCTCCTCCGCGCCCTCGTGTTCCCTGCGCTCGGCCCTGAACTGCGGCGCGCGCGGCTCCGCCGACGCCTCGGGGGCGCCCAGAACCCCCAGAACCCGGGCCGGGGCGCCCCGCTGGGTCAGCAGGAGGCCCGCGGCGCGGCACAGGCGCCGCACGTCCCGCTCCAGCCGCTGCACCTGCGCCCGCAGCGCGCGCTCCTGGCCGCGCACCAAGCACAGCTGCCGCCGCTGGCTCTGCCTACAGCGCTCCAGGGCTGCCGCCTGCAGCCCCAGCGCCTCGTCCTTGCGCCGCAGCCGCTCCCGCCACCGCCGCAGCTGCTCCCGCTGCCGCTGGGCCGTGAGCTCCTCTTCCCGGACCTACAAGTTGGCGGGGACCCGGGTCAGGACGCCCCCAGGGCGCGCGATCGCTCACCTGATCCTAGCTTTACCCTACATTTCCACGGCTGCGCATGGTGCGGGTTTTTGCGTTCTATTTTTGCCCCAAAACAGTACCACATTTCGATGACTGAGGTCTTTGGTTCTCGCTAACATTTTGCCCAGGAGCCAAGAGCCCCCTTTATCCCGTCCTAGTCCTGGCCCTGCACCACCATGGGCTCCTTGGGTCCTTGGACGGGAACTCACGGGGTGGAGGGGCAGGAGAGCCGCAGAGTCGCCCAGTGCCGGTACACCCACACCAGTCTGCAAACTCCACTCCCAGAGCCCCCAGAGTCGATGCCGCCCAGGCAGGCTCAGCTGGCCTGGCCGCCCACAGCTGCCTTGAGGACTGCCCCGTCTCCACCCCACTGGGAACATCTCTATAGCAGGGCTGGGCCGGCGTCGCCTTGGAAACCCACAGGCAGAGGGCACAGCTGTGAACCCTTTGTCACAGTGCCCTCCGTGTAAAATGTCCCTCGGGATGGACGGGAAGAGCCACGGAGCCAAGGAGGGAACAGGCTGGACTCTACACTGAGGGGGTGCACGGGGACATCCGGCTGGACGTCCCTGGCAGCCGAGGACTCGGCGAGCCCCGACTCCCACCTCCTGCCCTCCAAACTGCCGCTGCCGGCCATCCCTGTGCTTTTCCAGTGTCCTCGATGGCTTCCCGTGGCCAGCGCCACACCTGACCATCACGCCTCATTGTGTTATCCATGCTCGAGCGTGACCAAAGGAAACCCAAGTTTCTTGAAGCAGCACTCCCAGCATGCACTGCGCCTGTCATGTTTCGTGGTCCATTTCAGGGACAAATGCTGGTCATGGCCCACAGAACCCATCCTACAGCCCATCTGCGGGTGCAGCACTGTGGGCTGCGCTCCAGAGAGCCATCAGCTACACCGGGTAAGTCTGGGGGCGCCCTGGGCACCAGAGCACCCTAAGCCTGGTCCTCCCCACCTCTGCAAAACTTCCCAAAAGTGGCCTGTCCTCTGCCCCCTCAACTCTCCCGGAGGACTTCAGTGATGGCCAAGAATTCGACAGTAAAAGCAAGCCGTGCTTTTTAAATGCCTGCCATGCCAGTGCTTTACACGCACTGACCCAACCCATGCAACAACATGAGGGGCTGGCGCGTGTCATCCCCACTTCACAGATGAGAAACTGGGGCCCAGAGAGGTGAAGCCACTTGCCCAAGGTCGCTCAGCTGGTTTGGTGGCAGAGCCGGGTTTAGCTCCGGAGCCGCCCACCCTGCTTCTCCATGGAGCCCTCCAGTCTGCACCCTGCTCTCCGCCCTCACTTTCCCCGGCGCAGTTAAAATGACCGCCTGACCGAGCATCCCCACTCCCGTCCCCAGAGCCCGCTCCCCTGCACACACCCACACTCCGCCCTGTCGGCTCCTTCCATCCCCGCCAGGGAGCCTTGGTGCACCTCCTGCCCACACCCTGCAGGCCCTTCCCGACATAGCCTGGTTCTCCGTAGCTTCCCTCCCTCTGGCCCCAGCATGCTGGGCAAGGTGCCCACACCCCCTCCCTGCCCCCAGCTCTGGGTTGTTTTGTGTTTGGGTTGGTTTTGGTTTTTTGAGATGGAGTCTCACTATGTAGCCAGGCTGGACTTAACTCACGGTAATCCTCCTGCCTCGGCCTCCCAAGAACTGGGACTACAGGTGTGTGTCAACACGCCTGGCTCGCCGGCCCCCACTTTTAGAGTTTTTTGTTCCTGTCATTGCTGAGGCCAGCGTCAGCATCTCCTGTCCTTGGGCCCAGAGGCAGGACACAGCCTGTGAGAAGGGCCCATGGCCGCTGGGTGCTCTGCCATCCACCGTCTCAGGGCCTGCAAGGCCAGCAGGCAGATGCGGCTGCACAGCCGGGACAGGAGCGAACCCGGGAAGAGAGGGACGCGGGACACGTACCCGGCTGGCCAGCTCCGCCTGCAGCGCCCGCCGCTGTTCATGGGCACGGAGCGCCGCACTGCGCTCCTGGGCCACACGGGCGCTCAGCGCCTCTACCCTCCGCAGCAGCTTCCTCTCAGCCAGCTCCAGCTCCCGGATCCTGCAGCAGAAGCGGGCACACTGCTCAGGACGGGCCGGCGCAGCCCAGGGGCCCACGGGGCCACACTTCCTCATCATGTAGCCAACCCAACGCCCAGACAAAATTGCATTTTTAAAACCATTCCTACCTGTCATGTTAAAGATCATCTCCACTGCTTCGAGACCATCATCAGAATAACGAATAAGGTGCCAGGTGTCAGAATCTAAAATCTGCTCACCTCAAACCAGTAATCCCATGTTCAGGTGATATCAAGAACAGCTGAGCGGAGCCGGGTGGGCTGAGAGCTTTATCTACGTTTGCTCCAGTTAAGGCTCACATTACCAGCCTTGGGGCAGGGGCAGGGGGTTAACCCTACTCCTACTTCCCAGGGAGCACACTGAGGATCAGAGGGCCTAAGCAGTTTCCCCAAACTCACACAGCACTGCAGAGCCCAGGCTGTCTGATTCCTGAACTCGCACTGGTCATGCTTTGCTGTGCTGGCTCCCCTTTAGCTACGTTCGTGTGAATCTCTTCTAAGGAAGGAACAGAATTTAGGAAAAGGCTGCAATGAAAAGAAAATCATCTCTGTATCCCTCACACTTCCCGGTGAGCAGGGACCTGGCCTGACCGTGGAGCAGTGAGGAACAGCCCAGCCCCAGGGGCTCCTTCATCCTCCCCAGGCCCCCCGGGTCCAGGCTGGGGCCCCTCGAACCCAGGATGACACCCTGCACACACACACACCAAGAATCCCTGGCTCTGGTGCCTGGCCTGGCATCTGCCAGCCACAGGCTTTGATCTTTGTCGAGAGACGGGGTAGCCACTCCTCACTCAGGCTTGCTGGAGGAGGAGATAAAGGAGGCATTCCCACTGATAACCAGCCCAAGAGGCCTCTCTGGGGGTCTCCAGGGAACAAAGGGTGTGTGACCCCCCTGGGGCGAGGATGACCTGGCCCCTTCCTAATCCTAAATGAAGAGACTGGCAGCCTGGTTCCAGGGTCCAGAGCCGGGCTTGGGCGCTTCTGGTTGCTACGATACGGTGAGAACTAGAAGGGGAAAGAAAGACCTTCCTGCTTTTGAGACCAACCAGCAACAGAAAATGTGGGGCTTGGTTTAATTCCGACACAATGGCTGCACTTGAACTGAACGGAATCCCGGCCCCCTGGACCGGGGATGCAGCCTTTTTAGGGCAGAGGGGCTGCAGGTGCGGTCAGGTCCAGGCTGGGAGCATCCTGGATGACATCGAGGGTCCTTGTCAGGGGCATGGACAGCTGGCTGCCAGGAGGGAAGCCTCATGACCTGCAGGTGGACGATGGGACAGGACAGGAGCCCTGGGTGCAAGGAGCCAGGAGTTCCGGGCCCACAAGGAGACAAATCCCCACAGACCCTGGGACACTCCTCGAGAGCCCAGGGAGCCTGATCTCCAACTTCCGCCCTCCCAGCTGTGAAATTATCTGCGTGCACTGCGGTCATTTGTCACGGCAGTCACAGGGGCCTCACAGGCCCACACACGTGGGCTAGCAATGAGGTGCCGTGTGTTTACCCATTAAACTACGGCAGGTTTTCCAAACATTGGTAGGCAGTCCAATAAAGAGTGCTACGAGACTGGGAGACATCATCTCGCTGCAGGCCCTGTCGGGGATGGGCCACTGGGGAGAAATCTGCTTCCCCACTGGCGGGGGGACCTCGGGATAAGTCACTCACTCCCTGGTGTCATCTCTGTGTCGTGTTGTTTTAAGGAAGATGCTAACACGCATCAGGCACATAAATGCTCCAGGGAGGGCTCGCCCTCGAGAATGCTGCTGCCTTTAGTCTGCACAGAGGAGCCGCTTATGAAACCAGGAGTGCGGTCTTCTGTCTCAAGTATTTAGCAATCCTGATACACTATTTTTTTCCTGATACACTATTTTTAAAATAAATACTTTAAGTTTTAACTCTTTCATTGAAGTAACTCCAGTGAATATCGCCAATCCTTTATTATCCTCTGGCTAGACCAAAGCCAGAGCTGAAATTAGCCTGAAATCTGCCCTCAGGGTTGTGCTCTTGGTGACAGTGGGCAATGGATCTCATCCTCCCAGCCTCAAGTTTCCCCACCGGTGAAAGGAGATAATGGCACTACCCATCATGGGACTTGAGGGAGCCTGGAGGTGCTTTTCTCCTTCACCCACCATGAGCCTGACCTCCTCAACCCTGGACCCCTTCCCACAAGATGGCGACCCATCTTCAGAGAGATGCAGTCCACAGCTCAAGGCGGGGCCCCTCCTCCAGGTGCTCATGCTGTCCCCAGGGCTCTCCTCCCCCAGGACCTCCTATCTCCCTGGACCTGTGGCCTTTCCTTTTCCTGCTCAGGAGGAAGTGCTATCTACCTCCCGGGTTGCCTACAGCCCCAGGACTTCCTCTGAGCTGACTTCCTGTCATCCTCAAATTCTCTGTGTTGAAGTTCCGATCCCCAGGACACCAGAGCAGGGCTGGCAAAGAGGTGATTATGTTAAAGGGAAGTACTAGGATGGCCCTTTCCCTCCCATGTGACCAGTGTCCTCGTAAGAAGAAGAGGTGGGGACACAGACACACACAGAGGGACGAACACAGGCGGGCAGGAGAACTGGCATCTGCCAGCCAAGGAGAAAGGCCTCAGGAGGAACTGCCCTTGACCATGGGCTTCCAGCCTCCAGAAACATGTGGAAAAGTATTCTGTTAGGTCTTAATCTGCAGTTCTTATTCCGACAGCCCAAGGCCAGGCAAAGGGGCATAGCTTCTCTGTGATTCACAGTGCAGAGTGAATGGATGGATGGATGGCAATCACAGAGCAAAAGAAAAAAGGAATTTTTCTGATTTGTAAATTTCTTCATGTGAACATTTTTACCTAGGTGAAAAACAGTGCATCACATGTAAATACAGTTAATGATTTGCCTTTATTAAAACAAAGGCAAATACCAGAAAACAGGGAGGTCGCACAGAAGTCCAAGGTGCCTGGTCGCTGGGATATCAGTAAACCCATCGGCACGGACCCAGCCCCAATGCACTGTGGGCCCCATTCTGCTGGCCGAGGGTCAAGATGTCACTGGGGAGGCTGGAGGTGTGGCTGAGCCATAGAGCGTTTGCCTAGCAGGCTCAAGCCCTGGGTTCCAGTCCCAGCACTGGAAAGAAAACAGAATGAGAAGAAAGGAAGGAAGAAGAGATGGAGGAAAAATGGAACGAAGGAAGGGAGGAAGGGAGGGAGGAAGGAGATGGATAAAAGGAAAGAAGGAAGGAGGGATGGAAGACAGATAAAAGGGAGGGAGGGAGGGAAGAGGAAGAAGGAAAGAAACAGTCAGAAAATCCTGGGCTTTGGAGAAAGGCCCAGGTGAAACACCAGCCTCGGGACATGCCATCCCGTTGTGGAAGCAGAGCCACGGCAGGGCTCAGCGGAGAGAGACAAGGCGGAGCTCCTAACATGAAGACAGGAGGACAGAGGAAGAGGCAGAAGGCAGAGAGAGACAACAGCCACCCAGATTAGCAACTCTGGAGCCAGGGCACCCAGCAGGGGCTGGGATGGGAGGAGACACAGCCAGGGCAGAAGGGGGAGACACCTGGGCTCTGCCCCCACCACTCCCTTCCGGTGCCTCTCACGGGCTGCACCCAGGGGAGCCAGGAGCTGGGAAACCGCTTAGGTGCAGAGTGGAGGACGGGAAGGTCAGGAGGCCAGGGTGATGACCCCCGCAGGCAGGCTGTGCACCCTGGCAAGCCAGGCCCTCAGCTGGAGCGATGGCCCCGTGTGACACCGGAACACAACTGTGATGCCCAGGACTTGTCGAGCGCAGAGACCGGCCCCAGATGGCACGCATACCTGCTCCTCAGCTCGGACTCCAACAAGACTCGCTGGTCCACTGCTGCCGACAGCTTTGGCTCTGAGGACTCCAGCTGTTTCCTGAGCCCAGTGGTGTCCACATCTGGGCTGCCAGATGCTTCCTCCGCAAGACAACCCTGCTCCTCACCGCTGCCCTCCTCGTCCTGGAACATCCAGCACGTGTCTATCTTCACATCGACATTCACAGCATCAAACCCGTCGCTGCTGGGGACTCTGACAACATAGCTAAAGCTTTTCTCAGTCCGTCCTTGGGAGGTGGGCTCCATCTCGTAAATATTTCATGGGTGGAGACTTAATAAAATTAAGCGAAGTCACATCATGGAGTTTCTGGAGATTTTGAGGTGGCTGCAAGGCCTGCAGATTGCTCAGGAAAATATCGTCTGAGGAGCGCAAGAACAGGTGGATTATTCATGAGTAGGAGACTTGGGTTTCACTGGCACAAACCTCATGCAATATGGATGAGGCTCTCGTTTTACACGTGGGCATGCCAGAACTCACCTAGTGCGAGGACCCAGCACAGAAAAGTCAGCTGGAACCAAGTGTTAGCGATGCACCCAAAGAGGAAAAATCAGATCTCCAGGCGGGACCATCACAGTGTCACAAATTCTTGGTAGCAAATGAGGCTCAAGTTTCCACCCACAATGAAGGACGGCCTACACTTCGTTCTGAGCTCAGCGCCTATTTATGGAGGACCTGGGGTTTGCTAGGCGAACGGAATGGAAATCAACACTGCCCTGGGCTCCCTTCATGCCTTTCCTGGTCCAGTTCTCCTGGTGACCCCATGGGGGATCGACGTGACCATTAGACAAGGCAAAAGGGAGGCTTTGGAAGCAGGGAGCTTTCCTGGCCCACAGATGGGATGGAGCATGGCAGGATCAGGGTTCAAACCCAGGTCTGACTCCAAAACTGAGAGACCACGTTCTACCTTGGGAGCTACAACTCAGGCGTGGTGCACTCCAGGCCCCCGGGCAGGAGAAATCACAAGGCTGAGAGCCATGGGGCCTCTGAGAGCCCAGAGGTGGGAGGCAGAGGTGACCAAGGCCTAGTGCAACAAGACTCTCAGGCCCCAGCCACGCGCGATGGAGCAGCTGGGTGGGGCGGCCCAGGGCACACAGTGCTTGGGGCTGTGTCCTCCCAGGTTCCCGAGGACTGTGGCCTCTCTATGTGGGCCCGGGAGCCCCTGGGAGACTCTGGCCCAGGGAGGTACTGGTCCAATGTGTCACCAAGGACCGAGCCCTCTGAGGTTTGCAGGGCTGAAAAGGAAAGAGCCATGGGCAGAGGCATCCAGGCTGGGGCTGTGATAAGGACAAGCGAAAACTCAACACCAGAGGCTCAATTCTCCCTGTGGAAATCATGGGAGAGACTCCCACACGCTCCTTTGTCTTAGGACATTAGAACCCGTGCCAACTTTTTTCTCCAGGTCCTAGAAACAGAGACCTCCTGTGGCAGCTGCAGGGGACCCTCCTGGACACAGTCTTTCCTCTTGGTGCACACTGCCATGGTCTCAGGTGACTTCTCTGGGACTCCTTCCTGCTGTAGGCGAGCCCCAGCACCCCTGAACACCCACACAACCACAACACATGGGGGCTGAAGTCCCTTACATGAAATAGTTCAGCATTTCCACAACCACACAATCCTCCCACATCCTGGGCATCGCCCCAGATGACTACGATACCCCACACACGATGCCTCCCTCATATTACAGTGTCTAATGTAAAGCCAGTGCTGTGTATGCCCATGTCAGACAGCATCATTAGAAATAATGACCGGAAAGCACCTGTCGATGTTCAGTAGAGACGTGCTGTCTTCAGATATTTCCTACCCAGGATACAGAGCGAGGAACCGGATACAGAGCACTGAGCCATCGACATGAATCTTTCTTCAGGCTAAAGAAAAGCTTTCTTCAGCTTCCTGGCCTGGGAAAGTCTTCCTCAGGGACCTGGGGAGCAGCCCCTGCTGTAGGAGGATGACCTGGCAGCCGAAGGTCTCAGACAGCCAGACCCTCACCAGGGCCCGCTCCATCCCTCTCCCCACATTGCTCCCCCTCCCTGCACAGGTGGAGAGGCAGCTGGAGCTTGGGCCTCTGCCTGATGGGGAGAAGAAAGGAGGTGACTCACTGGCCCCCTCCTCTGCCGAGTGAAGGCCAAGCCCGCAGCCTCCAGCCTGCCTGCCCCATGGGCTCTGGAGGGGACAGAAGCAGATGGACAGGAAGCAGCTGTAAGGACAGGGCCTGTGCCCCCTGGGAGCCTGATGAGGTCCCCGCTGCTGAAGGAGGTCACAGGAAGGACACAAGCAACAGGTGACAGCAGGGCTTGGAGCCCCAGGACCTGCACCCTGGAAAGGCAAGGAGGGAAGTGGGAAGGGAGGCCCAGGCCCTGGAGACCTGGGCTCCACCTGCCACACAGGGGACTCTGGGGCATGGGCTAGAATCTGCAGAAGCCCCACGACAAGCTGAGGGAGGAAGAGGGGCCCACACTGGCTCCTGGGGTGTTCCCCCTCCGTGTGGCACCCTGTTACAGTTATAGCTAGATGTGCCCCAAGAGCCCCCAAGAGACTCGTGTGCTGTGATCATAGGCAGGGCTTTTGGAAGGTGATGGATTATGGGGGTGCTCTGGCTGACTTGCTGTGGGGAGGCGGGGCCTGGTGAGAAGAGGGGGTCACCGAGGGCATGGCCTGGAACGGCTTATCTCCCTCCCTGGCTCCTCCCTTGCTCTCTGCTTCCTGTCCACCTTGCTGCGAACACTTCCACCAGGCGCCTTTGCCATGCAGCCCTGCCTTGGACCCAGCTGACTATGCAAAGACTGAAACTTCTACAAACAAACCTCTCCTCCTCTAAGTTATAGGTGTCAGGTATTTTGTCCCAGCAATGAGAAAAGTGACTTAAGACCCACTCCTAGCAGGTTCGAGCTACAGGTAAGGAATAAACTAAAATCAGTCTCTTGGAGTTTGTCCTTCGGATATTGGGGGGACTCCTGGGACCTGCTGGTTATGGAGTCAGGGAAAGTAGGAGCCACTGAGCCCCAACCTGTGGAAGGGAGAAACTCAGGGTGGACACAGCTCCGCCAGGGCCCTGCCCCAGGCTGCAGGCACACAGTGGACCTCAGGCTGGGTGGACACTAAACACAGCGGCCTGGGTTACAGGTTCTGCCTCCCATATTCTGGGTGACAGTGCCCACGCTGGGGTCAAAACCTGTCCATGGCCAGCAGGAGCCCCACAGTGAAGGGCAGTTGTGGGGAGACTTCCCCATCCTCAGCTTCTCTGTTCCAGCCCTGGCTGGCTGCCACTGACTGGAGAGGATAGAGGTGTAAGGGTGAGAAGCAGAAACCCAGGTGTGCAGGCTGCATGGGTAAATGAAGAACAGGGGAGAGGACTGTGGGAAGGGGTCCACCGGCCCTCTCCTTTCTGCCTGAGAAAGTGACCTTGGGGTTGACCTTGTAGCTCTCCTCCCCTGGAAACTACATAGATGTTTCTAGGCAACACAGCCCTGAGGCTGTGCCTCACCTGGACACAGGTGTCATGGAGGGAGACTGTACCTGGTGGCCTTCAGCTCTGCACCATCCCAGGCACGGCTCTCTACCCAGGCCTGTCCCTAGCAGAGACCCGGATGATGACAAGAAAAGTTCGTTCCTACTAGGAACTTGGGGCTCCAGAGGCGAGCAGCTCCCACACCTGCCTATGTGTGTCTCACTCCCTGGGCCTGAGCTGTGGTCTAGGGTCAGATGTAGCTGTTTCGACTCCTGTTCCAGCTGTGCAGCTGTTGAGGTGGCCGAGGTCTACAGCAGGGATGTGGCCCGGCTGGGAGTGACAAGGTGCATCTGACTCCAAGGCCAGGCCACTCTGTCACACGTTGTCTGAGGAGGAGAGCCAGGCAGACAGAGACGCTACCCTGTCCTTTGACAAGAGGGCATGAGGACCTCCATGCCACAGGAGCAGAGAGCTGCAGGCGCCTCGGTGACAGCTCCATGCTGTGCTTTCCTTCCCCTCACCGGGACTGCACCCCACCTCGATGCCCACATATCCATTCCTTCACACAGGATGTCACCTCCATGGCCTTTGGCCACCTAATCTTGGTTCTCCACCAGCCGGGGTCGTGGGTGCTTGAGGCTTGGGTTTTGACAGAGATCGGCACGTCTCAGCTGTTCTGCCTGTGTCCGCTTCAAGCCCCAAATCCTGCTCAGAGTTCGTGTCCTTCCTTCTCCACCCTTGCATCTGGCCTTCTAAGAATGTCAGTTTCTCAAGGTAGCCTGAATCTCAGTCATTTCTGTTTCCTCCAAAGTTGTTGTCACGAGAAATCACAGGTGGCCCCATAGCCAGCAAACACAGAGCATGGATGTTCCCTGGCCAGTGAGGTGCTGTGTCCTGGCCTGCCACTGGTTCCTTCTCGTCCACACTCCCAAACTACACCACGTAGACTGACAGCAGGCATCCTCCCGGCCCCATGTTCTGGGGAGGATAGCCACCTGCGCAGGTGCCTTCTGGGGGTCCCACCCTGGGACAATGGCAGGAATGGCATTTGAAGTTCATTTGTCTTGTCCCTACTCCGGAATTTCCTCCTGGGGTCCACTTCCGGCAGCTGGTGTCTGGCCATCCCAGCCTGCCCTTCGCCCACTCTCGGGCGCATCCACTACCCCTCAAACTCTCCTGCTCTGCTCAGGATCCAGGGTACTCCCTGTGTGATGTGGCAGTGCCCCTGCTCTGACCCAGAAAGGGCCTCATTCCCAAGGGGCTTCAGGGGTCTCCTCCCCAGTGGTCCCGTGAAAACCGTAACCAAGCCATGAGGCAGGCAAGTGTCACCTCATCGATGGTGGTGTCTGTTCTCAGTCCTCCACCCACCTGGCCCTAAGGACACCATGTTCTTGGGCTTTCGCTGTGTTGAACCACAAGAGTGGCACATCCTTCAGCTTCCCATGGAAATCTGGGGCTCCAGGGACCCGGCCTTCTACCTCCACCAGGCTCCAACTCTCTCTCCAGCCACCTGCTGCTGCTACATCCAGTTTAGAGGGTTCTGGTGACGGGGCCGGACTGGCTTAGGATTCTGATCCAGGGACCTGTGTGAGTCACCCTGAGAGACAGACTCTGGGGTGGACACAGCACGGTTCATGGGGTTTATGTACACAGGGTGGAGGGGGCTTGTGCGTCCAGCTGCACACACACCGCAACCAGGGGAGGTATGTGCATAGGGACAGAGACTCCAGCCTGTCCCACCCTGCAGCGGCTCTCCAGCCCCTTGCTGTCTGTTAATTGCACTTAGTTTCCTGATGTTCAGGTCTCTGCCCCTCGGGCTCTAAGGTGCCACGGCTGGAACACAGCACTAGCTCCAAGTGGGACACGGTCCCCTCGTCCCTGTTGAGCCCATGCAGCATGGGCTGGCCAGGACCCAGTGGGACATCCAAAAGGCCTCCCGTTAAAGCTGTTGTCAAATAAATATGAATACTGTTTCCAGTCTCTGGACTTTGAATAGCTTGTTTTGCTGCTGAGTTTGGGTTTGAGTAGGGTTGGGGTGGCCGTAAGGGATTCCGTTTATTCCGCAGGCTCTTTTTCTATCCTGTAAGATTAAACACAATTTGCAGTGACACCAAAACCAAGGTTAAAATGGCTCCACCCACCACTGCCATCTCTCCCACCTGGCCTGTGGTGGAGGAAGCAGGATTGGTTCAGAGTGCTGTCCTCCAGTCCTCACCCAGCCTGGTACACCCCGCCCCATCAGTGGGGCTCAGTTTGCATTGTCCCCCAGACCGAAGTCACACTCTCATTTATGCCACACTAAGGAAGAGTCACCACCGGCCAGGCCAGCCCAGCTCCAGACGGAGGTGCCAGACCCATGCACTGTGGCCAGGGTCAGCATCAGGGACGCTGGAGACATCAGGCAGGGTCAGGACCAGAGCTCAGTGTGTGGTGTCAAGACATCTAGCAGGCACTGGTGGTCCCTGAAGCTGGGGACCTCAGCCTGGGCTGGGTCAAGGGTAGAACCCTAGAATCTCGGGGTCCTTGCAGACCCAGTCCTGAGTCAGGTGCTCAGCACAGGGAGCACAGGGTAAGGCCTGGGGATCAGGCAGAGACTTGGAGGCAGCTGGGTTCTGGGAATACACGGCTCAATGGTCAAGAAGGGCCTAGGTTCCAGGGTTCTGGCAGTCCCCAAGCAGACAGGCATCCAAACAGGCATGGGGATGAGGGCAGCAGGAGGGCCAGGGTGCCGGGTCCCTGGGTCCTGGGCATTTTGCAGGCAGCTCAGAGTCTGGCCTCCTGAGCCACTTGCCTGACCTCCTGCTTGTGCAGATCCCTCACCTTGGAAAACCCCTTGCTCCTTGCTGGGCACCCCACAGAAGATGTATTGGTCCCCATGGCAACAGAGAGGACCCGGAACTGAGCCTATTGGAGAGAGCCTTTGGGATAAAGCAAAGACCCCTCCGCAGATGAAACCGCTAGAGGGGTCCTTATTTCCACCGAGACCTCCCCATCTTCCTCCCACGGAGGGACTCCCAAGGACCCCAAACCCCCAGACCTGAGGACCCAAGAGCCGAGGATCCCAGCCTCAGCCACACTCCAGGCCCTGATCCCTTAAGGAATGCTCAGCCAGTGCTGGCAAGTCCCAGCTCTACCCAGGGGAAGGAGAGGATACCAACCCGAGCGCTCAGCTCCCTGGAGTCATCAAGGCCACAGAATGAATGCTAGTGAGAAAAACAAAAAAAGGAACAAAAACTATAACATAAGACCAAAAGAAAATGAGGGAAAGAAAAAGGAAAAGAAAAGAAAAAAGATGTAAGACATGTGGCGTGGAGGTCAATGACAGCATCTTACAAGAACTACAACACCAGGTCGGGTGCAGGGGGCAAGCAGAGGGAGCAGGCCTCAGGAGGGTGTGCGCCAAGTTCCAGGCTCTGGCCTGCCCTGCTGAGTGGGCTGTCCCCACACTGCCAGTGCCCAGCCAACCAGGATGCCAGCACCGTCTACACCACGGAGCGGGACTTTGATGCTAATACTCGGCGGGGCAGGACAGGGTAGAATGTGGGTGACTGCACTGAGAGATGAGGAATTGTCTGGGGCTGCATACAAAACATATAATGTAGTTAATGTTTATAAGTAACGAAACGGCTTTTTATATGGTTTGTTCTCACATTTAAAAAAAAAGAGGGCAACAGAAAACTAGCGGGATGTTGATCTCGTTTTGGTGAAACTAATGTGCCTGTGTTTGTTTCGATGGAAGTGGTTGTGATTCTCAGTGAGTTCTCGGGGTGCTCATGAGAAACCGTCAATCTGGTTTCATGCTTCGTGTGCTCCAGCCTCGAGGTGGTCTGAACAAACACCCGACCTGCCAAATATCACGATGCGGTGAGTGTGATTGTGCAGTGAGGGGCAGTTCTGTCTGGGAAGACAGCAAAAGGTCTAGTAATGAGACACAGTCAGATTTTTCTTTTGAGTTGAATGTCCAACTGCAACTTTATGCAGTTCAAAAATTAATAAGCAACTCGTTTATTTTTCTGGTATTAGTGAGGTTGCATGTGTGATTAGAACAGTATCATGAGCAAAGGCCTACTTGATACATTTTTGTATCTCCTACACCACAGCTGCTAAAAATCCATTTTAACTTATTATTCTATGAAATAACACAAGCCCTGGTTTAAGAATTTTTAAAATATACACAGCTGCTTAATACCCCTAAAAGCCTGTCTTCCAGGTACGCACGTGGGGAGGCAGGCTAAAACACTATTATCTCAAAGTCCCATTAGCACCTGTAACCTCGGGTCCATGAGGGTTTGGATGGACCAGCCATGGGCGCTCAGCTACATGGCGACCACTGTCACCCATGAAGCCTGCCCTTGAGCACTGCATAACTGAAGCATGAGAGACACTCGGGGAAATCACTCAGTTATGTTACAAGTTATGACCTCGTGGGGCTGCATCACTCACTGCAGTCCAGGGCCACGTGAGTCTGTGGACCGTGGCTCAGACACACCTGGAACAGAGCCAAGGACCTTTCCAAGGTCACTGCTGGGCTCCAAAAACGCTGGGCATGGCCTGCACCCCCAGGCCAGGAGAGAAAAGCTCAGGGACCCAGTCCCCTCACAGACAAGCAACCCTCCCAACACCATCCCTGCTGGCTTCTTCTTCCAAGAGATACAGTACTGAAATTTTTTCTTTATTTAAAATTGTTTTCTTTCACTAGTTTTTTAAAAATAGGGAAAAAACAGCCTTAAAGGAATTAAAACCCACACAAGCCAGTGTAAAAGACTTTTTTTAACTTATTCATGACTTGCTTTGTTCATACAGAATTGCTGTGCATTAAATGAAACATCTCAACATTACCTGGGAGTCCTGAAAGTAATTCTTCTTCACCCCAAACAAGGTGATAGCTCCCCTATATTATACAGTGAGCAAGCTAAACTCCAAACAGCCACCCACTTCTCTTAAGTCTCAGAAAGAGAGCTGGAAAGGCCACTGGAATCACCCCGCCCTTCATGTTCTACACGGGGAAACTGAGGCATGGGAGGGGGAAGGACTTGCTAAGGCCACACAGTGGGGTGTAGCCAAGAGTCTCTGACCACTGGGGGAGAGACAGATGCCCCACCAACAATGGCACTAATGCCGGTGGGAAACAAGGGTGACAAGGAGGCCTCGTAGAAAGCTCCTAGTCCTATGGCCTCCCCAGGAATCCAACCTGCCTCTCCCTTCCACTCCTACCCCTGCTGGTGCGACTCCCTTGTAGGACAAAGGTGGCAGAGCAGCCCACACACGTCGGCTTTGAGAAGAGTAAAAAAGAGCCAACAAGAGATTCAAGCATTTCTGTGTGGTTCCCACCTGAAGTGTCCCCAAAGCCTCAAGTGCTCACAGGCAGGGCTTTGGGAAGGTAACAGATTATGGGACTGACAGAGCTGACTGCAGCGGGAGGCGGGGCCTGGTGGGAGGCGTGGTCACAGGGCGTGGCCTGGAAGGCCCCTCCCCTCCCAGCCCCTCCCTCCTCTCTGCTTCCTAACCCCCATGCCCTGAGCAGCTCTCCTCTGCCAGGCACCCAGGCCATGCCCCCCTGCCTCAGAGCAGGCTATGGACTGAAATGTGACCCAAAATGAACATGTCCTTCCTTAAGTTGTGGGCTTCAGGTACTGTGTCCCAGCAACAAGCAAGTGACTAAGACCCCAAGGGATCCTCTCCTACCCAGCATGGAGCCCATCACTTATGTGTATGTCTTTCCCACTTGAGTTTTTAAATTTTCATCTGCAAGGACAATTGTAGCCATGTTTTAAGCCCTTTTTTGCGATCAATGGCTCTGTCGATGGACAACCCATGGCTGTGACCCGCTTGGCCATCCAAGTCACCAAGCTGCTGGGAGAACAGAAGGCAGAGAGAATCCAAGCTGTCAGTCCCCATGCCCTCCCCTCACCGAGCCTTGGACAAAGCCTTCTCAGCACTATCCAATGGAGCCTAGAACCTGTGGGCCTCCCTGGGAGACGGAGCGCATCACTCCCAGCAGCAAATTCAAACCTGAGCAGGGGTGGGCAGGGCAGAGGATGCCTTCCCCACCCCAATTCCAAGCCACCTGGCAGAGCTGGATGTGGACCAAAGTCAGCCCAGCCCCCAAGACTCGTTCTTCACTGAATCCTACCTGCAGTCTCTGTTCTTCTGGGAGGCTGAGGAGGGACCCCACGAGGCCCCATCCCTGCACTCAGAGCCCCCACATGACCAGTTGTCCCTACACAGGGAGGGGAGGACAGGGTGACTTAACCTGCAAAAAAGCTCCCTCTCAGAGCCTGGGATTTAGCTCAGTGGCACAACACCTGTCTCATAAGCACAAGGTCCTGAAATTGATCCCTGGAACCAGTACCAAAAAAAAAAAAAGAAAGAAAGCTCCCTCTCAGGAGAGCACGGTGGGGGACCTTCGGAGGTATCCTCTTTCTCATACACTGGGCAGGACGGGGTGGGCTCTCATCCTTGTACAGACAGCCCCGACGTCTGCCCTCCCAGTTCAGCCCCGGAGGAGTCAGCTTCCCCTCTCTCTCAGGACACCTGAGACGGTCAAGCCCAGCATATCCCTTCCCCTCACCACTGTCTCCTGTCACCCTCTAAGGTTCACACGGGGTCTCTCCTGGGACATCCCTGCTGGACCGACCCACTGGCTCTGCACCTTGTCCCCAGGCATGGACTTACCTCTGTGAAACTGACACCCCTGTGCCTTGGCCTGTCCCCATCCATGCCCACATGTCTTCGTGACCACAGACACCAGACGGTGCCCCACCCTGCCTTAGCGAGATGAGTAAACTTGCTCCCTGTCCTCGGGGACCTCACGGCCAGCAGGTGCGTGCACAGGAAGTAGTCAATGGCACACTGAGTCCCTCCACACATGAGGTCCTGAACCAGACTTGTGTGTCTGCCCTGATGAGCGTTGTGATGTCGGGAGGCAGGGGGACACCCACATGCCTGGGGAGACCCCACTGTCCCTTCCTGCCGCAGTCCTCGGCACCTGGGGCTAAGCGGAAAGCCCTGAGCAGCCTGCAAAGCCCAGGGGAGGCCAGGCTGGCTCGCTTCCGGGAGGAAAGAGACTGCGTCTCCTGGGAACACACGACTAGCTGTGGTGTATGGAAGCCACTTAAAATGAGTGATCTGGGGAGATGATCATGTCTGTAGCTGGGGACACGAGGGCCTTATCTCAGCGTGACCAGTCACCTTGTGCTTCCTGTGAGGGGGCAGCAGAGGGAGGGGGGTGGGCTGTGGGAAACACACACACCCACACACACGTACACTCACACACACACGCACACTCACACACAAGCATGCAAGCACAGACCCAGCTGCAGTGGTCCTGGGAGCCACTGAGAAGGAAAGGTCTGCCAGGGAGTGCCTGGGGAGGCTCAGATTCCCTGGGGCCGTGATTTGGGGGGGCAGAGCCTCCTCTTGGGCGCTAGGAAACCAGTGGGAAGACCACGCCCTCACGGGTGTCTGGGGACAGAGCCGCCCTACCTTCTCCTCCAGCTCCTTCAGCTGCCGCTTCTGAAGCTCCAGCTTGGCCTCCAAGTCTCGGACCCTCTGAAACACACAGGGGATGAATCACACAGCGGGCTCCGCCCGGACCTTCCCTTCTTTCATGTGGTCCAGCAACAAGCAGCGAAGCCTCAAACAGGTGATGGGCAGCTCCGGGAGCCTGGCTCAGTGTGTGACGCTGGCATTGCCTCATGGTGCAAGGCTTGGCTCAGGGCACTGGGATGAAGGGTATGAGTGCTGCCCGCCCTAAGCAGCCTGGGTAAGATATGAGAGACAGGAAGAGCTCAGTTGCTTTGCTGCCTTCTGCCCACCATGAACTGTTTCTCCTGCAATGCCCTCTGCCCTGCCACCCTGCCTTGGAGCCAGCCGATTATGACTGAAATCTATAAACTGCGGGCTAAATAAACCTTTCCTCCTTTAACTTTGGGTGTGGAGTATTTTGTCTCAGCAGTGAGAAAAGTGACTAAGACAGCTCAGCTCCCCTCCAATCAGAGCTCCCAAAGGAGCTCTATTCTGGCTTTTATGATGGGTGGATTTTGTCCGTGCACAGTGGCACACACTAGTAATCCCAGCTATTTGGGAGGCTGAGGTAGGAGGATCGCAAGTTTGAGTCCAGCCTGGGCAACTTTATGAGACTGTCTCAAAATTTTTAAAAATAAACAAGGGCTAAGGACGTAGCTCACTGGCAGAGCACTCCTGGGTTCAACTTCCAGTACAACAAAAAAGAAAATGATGGATGTATGTTGTGACTTCTTCAAGTTCATGGAAACAGAACTGAACACCGTGTGCTCCGAAGATCTTTCGAGAATACGAGCACCAAGACTGCACCAAGATACCAGGACGCCTGGGGCAGGCTGGCAGAGATCAGAGACAGGACTCCACATCAGGCACCTGCCCCACTCATCTGGCCCGGGTGCTGGCGGAGCAGGGGATAGGACGACCACCCATGCGGGGTCCTGGGCCTTTCTCATTTCAGGAATGAGCCCCGCCCAGCAGACCGGGACAGCTGGTCACTCCTGGCACTGTGCATGCCCTGCCCGGTCACCACGCAGTGCCACCTTTCCCACTCCAGTTTGCCCTGTGCCCATCACCCCAAGATGGTGCATGTGCAATAGCCCCTGCCAGCCCTGCATGCGCTGCCAACCTCACTCACCAAGAGGGAGCTATCAGGCCAAGGGCGGGCCATCCAAGGCAGGAATGGCCCCTTCCTCTGGCCCAGAGAAGCCCTCTGCACGCAGAGCCCGACTCCACTGTGGGTCCGCATGCCTAGAGGGCCTGCTAAGGATGGGCGCTGGCCCTGCCCAGAGTGGGACTAAGAAGGCGCAGTCCCAGCAAGTCGCAGGGGACCCACTTTGAGAACCAACACCACGTACTCACTCAGCAAGCAGGGCCGCGCGCCCTGAGGAGACAAGGTCCCTGCCCCTGAGAGCTTACAGTCCAGTTAGGGTTCTGACAATGGTGACAGACGAATAAAGGGCGCTGAGGCGAGTGAGTATCCGGGAGGAGAGGGGCGGGGCAGGGTAGGGCTTGGGGAGGCTGGGGGAAGGGAGGACGGGCTGCGGGAGCTGGGATGCGGGGCCCAGCCTGAGCCTCTGCGACTTCACACCTCCGCTGTCCCTGGCCTGAGGCAGCCCACCCAGCCCACGCCAGATCACAGCCCTGTGTCACGCGCAGTCTTCCTCTGCGGAGGAGCAACACCAGGGCCAGGGCCGGCGCATGCGCAAGGGGTGCCTGCTAGCTACCTCCAGCCGGGTTCTCGACCAGTCTGGAAATGCTAACCCCACTTCCCGCCCGCTTCCCCTCGAAGCTTAGCACATAGATGGCCAGGGGAAGGTCAGCAGAGCCATGTGTCCCGGGCCTTCTTCAAATCCTCCAAAGACTGCATTTCAAGTGACTTCAATGACTTCTCCTTTTTTTCTTTTTTTAATAGTAATGGGATTGGAACCAGGGCCTATGCACTGAGCTATTTTCCCAACCTTTTTTAATTTTGAGACAAGGTCTGGCTAAGTTGCCCGGGCTAGCTTGAACTCGCCATCCTCCAGCCTCAGCTTCCTAGAGTGCCAGGATTGCAGGCGTGCAGCACCACAAACCTGACTTCTTTTCCTTCAGGCACCTGAGCCCTCACACTGCCCCGCAGGCAGACGGCATTGTGGCCCATTCTGTCCTTTTTGCTCAAATCTCCCAGGTCCTGGGTTTGTTTCTCAGCATGTGCCACTCGGGGACTTTCCAGCTTCACAGCCCGGGGTGGCACTGCCCTGCACTTGTGCTTAGCGTAGGCTCCTGGCTCATCATCCAGGTCACATGGAGGCCACCACAACCAGCACATTCCACGAGATCAGAGCCTTCAGGGCAGAGAACTATGATTTTATTTTTATTCGGACACACAAACATCCTCTGTGAGCTCAATTCCTGACCACAGAGAGAGCACCTTCATCCTCGGTGTGCTCGGTGGCAGGTCCCACAAGCGGGGCGCAGTCCAGACCCTCGAGCATACCCAGCGCCGACCCCCCCATCTGGCCTCTTCCTGCACAACTCCCCAGTGGGACAGCAGCATTGCCGTCCCCGCCAGGCAGCAGAAGCCCAGAGGGGCTCGGGAACAACCTGCACAAGGCCACACTGCCGGCCCTGGAGAGCCAGGGTTCACAGCCAGGCTGTGTGGCCCCAGGGTCTGCATTTTCAACCTCTGTAACCCTGAGCTACCACGCTAGGCCCCTGGGAGCTGTTCTGCCTCGGGCTGGTTCATGTTGCACCAGCTCACCAATATGGCTGGACACGGGACCTGCACGCCGTAGTAAGGGCTGGGAGCGCCGGCTTTGGTTGGCTAGCATGGTTAGCTGGTGAGGAGAAGAGTTTGCCAATACACTGCCCCTCGCCCTTTGCAGGTGTCAGTGCTCCAGGGGACCTCAGCACGCATGGCATGGGGTGGACGGACGCCCTACCTGCTGGGCCTGCTGCAGCATCTCCATGCGCTCTCGGAGGATCTGGCTGTCGAACTCGCGGCTCTGCCTCAGGATCTGCCTGCGCACCTTCTCCACAGCCGCCTGCAGGTCCTCACGCTGGCCCACACTCAGCGCCTCACTGGCCCGAAGCCCCGGCTCCTGCTGCAGTGCGTTGTACAGTGTGGCCTCCAGGTCCTGGATTTTCTGTGAGGCCCAAATCACACAGACAGGTGCAGGTTGCAAAGGGGTGGACAGGCACCCTCAGGAGGCTGGAGGCTGAGCCAGGAGGCGTCTGGGACAGGTAGGGGCACACAGGTCTGAGCAGAGCTGCAAGCAATAGGAGGCCAGTGGGGGGGCCTCCTGTCCCGTGCAGACATCACTGGGAATGCTTCTGGCCAAGCAACCCTCCTGCTTACATGGGGGACAAGGGCAAGCAAGAGAAATAACTATAACCTCCCGTTCTGTGTGAGCCAAAGGACGTTGGGGTTCAACTGCTTTTTGAGTCAGGGTCTTGCTAAGTAGTTCAGGCTGGCCTTAAACTCACTATGTAGCTGAGGCTGGCCTCAAACTCACAGAGATCCTCCTGCCTCAGCCTCCCATGTGCTGGGATTACAGGCTTGCCACCGTGCCCAGCTTGAACTACTTTGATCTGATTCTGGGCTTCCAATGTGGTCTCCTCATTTTGGAAACAGAGCACCCCTTTATTATGGGTGCCAAGGGGACGAGGTGCCTGTTGCGCACATTTGTTTTGGGGCAGCATTGGAAACACAATTTTAACCCAAAGCAAATGCTCGCAGTGTTCTAATTGCTGCTTCGCCCCCAAAAGCCAGTTATGCTGGTGGAGCAGAATAGGCCCTTAGAGCCCACTGGAGCATCCTGGGAAAGCTCAGAGCTTTAATCCTTGCAGGAAGTCCCTTCTCCCCTTAATCCAGGAAGCTTAGGGATGTAGGGAGCGGAGAGAACTGTCTCCTCTCCTGCCTCCACCCCATCCTCCTCCTCTTCCAAGGGAGCTGCTGGCACTGAGGCACAGTCCCATCATTGTCCCACTGGACCCTGAGTCCCCAAACAGCCCGTCAGCCGGCTCTATGAGCCTGCCCGAGCCACAGGGGACCTCAGCTCCATAGGCCCTGACTGAGTGTCACCACAGGCATCACATTCCCCTGCCCTCCTTGTCCCTGGAAACACGATGGTTGGCATCCACCTGTGGCAGAGCAGGGGAGCCCCAAGTGGCACTGCCAGTGCCTGCCAGCCCACCCCTCCACCCAGTGCTCAAGGATCCCTGTGTCACCAGCTTCCAGATGGGTCCCCTCCCGCCACTCCTGGTGAGGACAGGGAGATGGGCCAGCCCAGCATGCTGGACCACAAGCTTACACCCTGCACCCCAGCAGGGGCCCCAGGACGGGCGTGCCGATACCCGTGGGTGATACCCAGCTTGGCATCAGTGCCTTCGCTTTTTATCTGTCCTCTGTCACCTTGAATCTCTGGGTCAGAGACCTGCTCAGGCCCGACACAGGCGTGCCCGTCACCACAGGAGCCTCTGTCTACAAGATGCTGACAGAAGCCTATGGTTCCTGGGCCCATCTCCTCTCCTTTCAAGACTGCAACTGTTAGAGGAGCTACGGCATTTTCAGGCTCTGCAGGGACAGTCGACTACTGCTTCGTTTGGTACCCGGGGATCAAACTCGGGTCCTTACGCTTTCAAGGCAGGTGGCGGCACCACTGAGCTAAATCCCTAGCCCCTAGACTGCCTGCTTTAGACCTGCTGAATGGGTGCCTAGAAGTCCCAGTCATTGTTCCAAATCTGCAGGGACCTCGGATTCCAGGAAAAGCAGAGCCTTCCACACAGACCATCTAGGAAGAAAGTTCAGCCATCGCCAAGCAGAGCACCAGTCCTCCCGTGGGGCCCAGGCTGTCCCCGCAGGCCATAGGACTTCTCCAGAGCCACCTCCAAAACTAGTCCCACAACAGTGGTCAGCCAGACCACATCTTGACCACGAGGACCTGTGCTGCTGGATGTGTGAACCCCAAACCTCGCCTTTGTTCCTCTTCTCTGCACACCTCAAAGCTTTTATCACCCTGAAGGCCAACCCTGAGCCCCATGTCTGGGCCTCCCACACAGTTAAAGCTCCTCTCCTGCCCTCCGCGCTGCTCCTCTCCTTGACAGACGTTTGGGACAGGGCCCAGGCCTAAGGATCTGGGCAAAGCGTTGCCCAAGACTGTTAGGCTGAGTCTAGAAGCCCCTAAAGCCTCATGCGGTCATAGGCGGGGCTTTTCAGAGGTGGCTGGATCTAGAGTGTGTGACTAATTCATGGTGCAATGCTAGGATCAAGGGTGAGTGATTACTAAACCCGTCCACTGATTGGCTGGGCACCACCCTAATCCCTAATCCGGTAACCAAGACAGAGTATAAAAGGAGCAGAAAGAAGCTACTAAGATTCTCCCACTTGCTTTGCTGTCTGCTGCCTGCCAAGGACTGCCTCTCTGCAACACCACTCTGCCCTGCCACCCTGCCTTACAGCCAGCCGACTATGGACTGAAACTCTACAAACTGCGAGCTAAGTAAACCTTTCCTCCCCTAACTTTGGGTGTCAAGTATTCTGTCTCAGCAACGAGACAAGTAAATGTCCGTCATCTCCCCCTCACCCCAGCCAACAGTTTCTCAGTGACAGAGTGTGTGGCTTTGAGCATGAGGACACAGGAGCTCGGACTTTAAGCACCAGGAAGCCCAGATCCATTTTGGGGCCCAAACACAGTATTATGCAGGGCTTTACAACTTGTCACCTTGGGTTGGATATCTACGTCTGACCCTAATTTGGCAGCTCTGTATTTTGGGGGGACCAACTCTTTTTGCTATTTACAGGAAAACTCACTTTGGGATTTTAAGTATAAATGAGTATTTAAGTCTAAATAAACATATAAGAAAGAGCATCTTCCTGTCCATCTCAAATGATGACTAGAACTTCATAAGCACATCTAGAGAAAGCATTAAGGTAACTGAATATTTTTGGAAATCACAATTGGTTTGGAAACCCAGCCAGCTGCCAGCCTTTGTCTGCACAGGTGGGGATGGAACACTGTCATCCCCCAGCAGCCCAGTGAGCACCCCAAATGTGGTCATAGCCTGAGGGGAAAGCTGCCCTCTAATGGTCAGTCTGAAAAGCCAAAGTGTCAAACCCACTTCTGGTCCTACCAGGTAAGCCTGGTCAAGCGCTTGCTTCCTGTAGTCCAGCTCCTCCTCCAGGTAGCCTTTCTGCCTGCTGAACAGGTCCTGCAAGAGAGGAGGACACAGGTCAGGGACGCAGCCAGAGCCAGCATCCAGGTCAGCGCAGGTCTCTAGCACCCAGCTGCCCTTCTTCTGCTAGAAGGGCCCTGTCACCGAGCTGGGACACTGCTCGAGGAGCTTGATGGTCTTCCTGGCTGCTCCTGCATGGAACCCTGGCAGGGGCCTCACAACTGTGACTGCCTGGGCCATCCGTGGGAACCATGGCCAACAGGTCCAGCCTCTCCTGGCCTCCCCTCCTCCCCTGTGCCTGGCTGTAGTGGAGGAAACAGGGCCAGAGAGCCTCAGGGCTTTGTCTTTGATGCCCCAGTGCATTGGTGGCAGGCGTGGGACTAGAAACCCAGGCTTATAACAGCTGTATGGTGCTCATTCCACACCACACCTGCTCTTGGGCTCTGTGTACTCCCTCCCTCCTTCACCTCATGGCTACTTGGAGAGCTGCAGTCAGTTTTAGAGGACTCGAGACCTGCTGGGAAGCCACCTCTGCGAGTCTCAGCAGGGGGAAATGGCCAGCGAGGGACCCTCCACCTCCACCAATCAGGTGCCCCGGTGCCGAGCCCCGTGGGACACTGGGTGTGCATCAGCATCTCACAGCCACGACCCAGAGGCGCAGGTGAGAAGCCAGCCCATCCATAGGCCCAAGCCTCCCCAACTCATGGTCAGCAAAGATGGAGCCGCCGCAGTGCCTCCAGGGCCACCGGCCCAGGCCTGTGTGTCACACTGTGTCTCTGATGTCCCCAGGCTGTGCCCATGTGGGCAACAGCACAGGACCCCAGGGGACACAGCAGAGGCTCTGAAAATGGACTTGCATGAACAGCTGCGTGGGAGCCAGGACACCAGGGGATGCTAACTACTCAGGACAGCCAAGAGGCCGAAGAGAAATAAGGATGCAAATGCATGCGTTGCCCTCCTATGAGAATTCTCACCTCCCGCTGCCGCCCCACCCCTACCAGGGGGTTGGGTCTTCTACCTTTTCCTTCTCGAGGTCCAGCATCTTCTGGGTCAGGGCTGCCTCGGTCCCCTCTATTTGCTTCAGCCACTAGAAAACAGCAGGGACAAGAGGACACAGCAAGGTGAGAGCTGACTCGCTGGGGCCCAGGGTCCACAGCCTACACAGAGGTCCTGCTTCACCAGGCCTGCAGGGCTGGGCAGGGTCATGAGAGCCTGGGGCCTGCAGGTGTGCGCAGTGTGGCTGTGTCACAGTCAGGCCTGGGGGAAGGAGGCGGGAGGCATGCTGGTGGCTCCTGTGTGGGTGGAGCTGTGGCTCTGGTGCTGGGGGACAGGCATGTGGAAGGCAGAATGTGTGAGTGTTCCGGAGATTTAAGGCTGACACCAGCATGTGTGCGTGCAGCTAATGTCTTATCACCAAATGTGTCACACAGGTGACCTCACCTGAGCCTCATGACCTCCCTGTCTCACTGCTGAAGACGTGGAGGCTGATCAACTGCCTTGACAAGGTCACACGGTAGGGCATGGGGACCCCAGCCACCAACCTCCCCCTCCAGCAGGGTGCACCACGGCTGAGGGGTGACAGGAAAGCGGGTGCCAGGGTAACCTCCACCCCGCACCTGAATAGTAGGCAAGAGGCGGAAGGTGTGGGTAGGCGCAGGAGGTGCGTGCAGTGCCTTCGCGGGGAGCCACCTGAGAGGGGAAGTCCCTGTCCCCGTGACTGACATGCAGGAGGGGCACAGGCGTCACAGGCAGGGGCCTTCCAGGTGGTGATGGATCCCAGTGCCTTTGGCCCCTCCTTGCTAAAGCCCGTGCACCCCTCACCCAACCCCAAGCTCCCATAGTTGCCCTGGGCTCCCTGCTTCTTCTTCCTCTTCCTCTGACCACAGCTCCTCAGCCCCTCGCAGCCATCCTGAACTCTCCTGCCTCAGCTTCCTGTTCCAGCCTGCCCTCTGCTACTCCAGCCCAGACTCGCCCTCGCCCGAGCACCCGCTGCCCCCTGCAGTCTCTCCTCTGCTCCTAGCTCTGCAAGACCCCAGGGGAGAGCTCCCCTCAGCTCCCCTCTTCTGTTTCTCAGGCCACTCACCCGGCTCCAACCTCTGCCCAGCACCTGCACCTCAAATCCTTCCAGCTTCCCCGTACCCCGTGCCCTCCAAACCCTCATCTGCCGGGGAGGCTGCAGCTCATGGCTAGCACTCCTCAGACAGCGAGTCTCCCTCTTCTCAGGGACTTTGCACTTACTGTTGGCGCTGCTCAGAACATCCCCATCCAGCCTCGGCCCTGGCCTTTACAGAGCCAGTGTCTGCCTGTCCTTCAGGCCCTATGTTAGCATCACCTCCCCCAGGACACCCACCCTGCTTCCCAGGCCACAGGTCACCATGTGACTGTCCTGTCACCACACCCAGGCAGAGGGGGTGGTCAGCCCCCACCCCTCAGCCCCCAGGTGGGGACACGTCTGACTCCTGGTGCTGCTCCCCGCCCAGCCCAGGGCCTGGTGCACAGCAGGTGCCTAACAGACGCCTGTGGCTTGAGGGGCACTGTGGCACTGGGGGCTCGGTGTGGGTGTGGGTGGCTGCCCAGGGAGGGAGAGGTGGCAAAGCCACAGCCACAGAGGGTCCCCAACAATGTCAAGGTCAGCAGGCTCTGAAGCCAGCAGCAGAAGCAGGGCCGAGGTTGGGCAGGCCCTTAAAACAGGGTCACTTTTCTGATACCCTAATGTAAACAATCATAAAGGGACGAAAACGAAGACGAGAGAATTTTCCAGTCTGAATCTCCTACTAGCCACTCTCAGAGCAGCTTCTGTGGAGGCCTGCGAGCGGGGGTGGCTGTTAACATAAATACGAGTGACAGTTGGGTGACAGGTCCTCCTGCAAGGGCCGAAAAGCTGGCCCAGGTCCTGGGCTACCACAGGGCAGGGGTCTCTCAAAGCCCATCAGGGACTCATGGGCCTCCCTCACCCCCAGGAGACACTGGAAGCTCCTGGTCCACTCAGCACCTGTGAGTGGGACCCCTGGGAGATAGGAGCCCACCCATAGGGAATGGGGGCTTGGGGGCAGTCGAGGGTATGAAGCCAGGTCTCTGTGCCCCACTCCCAGGGCTCCCCAAGGTCAGGACTGATCCAGCGCAGCTGGGGACCAGCGTCTCCCCTGGCTCTGGAGACAGCCCTCGGACCTGGACCAGTATCAGAAGGTGCGGCTGTGGCCCTGGTCTCAAACTCCTTCAGTCCACTGCTACAGCGAGGGCCGGGAGGTGTAAGACTCCCCTCTTCCTGAGCCCTGGGCCTACTTCTCCATGGCTCGTAACTGTTCGAGAGAAGGGCCATGCCTGGCCGTGACCCACATGCCCTCTCGGGTCTTACGCTAAGCGCCTCTGCTGGGTGCCAGCCTCATGCCAAGGTGAGCAAGTCTTGGTTGCTGGCTGCGTAGGCAGCTAACCAGGGAGGCATCCAACAGGGCAGCCAGCATGCTGCACGAACCCCAAGGGGGCACTGCATGGGGAGGCTGCTGGCAGGAAGATCATCCCAGCACTCCAGGCCAGGTTGATGCGCTAAGGCACGCTGGCTTGGCGCCTCTACCAGGACACTGAGGCGCGCTTCCGTTTGCTCAGACACCAGCATTGTACTGCGCAACCGCCCGTGCTGTGAGGTGCATGTGGCAGGGAGGGGCTGTCCCAGGGCCCAGTGACACTGCAGGGACCCATTTCCTCTGCCACCACCTCTGCAGTGCCCAGCAGTTCTAGGGTGACCAACTTGTTCCCATTTTCCCTCGACTGTCCCTGTTTTAGCATGGAAGTTTCCGCATCCCAGGACCCCTCTGTCCCAGGCAAAGTGGGCTGTTTGTCACTCAGCTGTCCTCCCCTCATCCTCAGGGTGCTGCTAATCCAGCACCCACCCTGCCCAACGGCCCCCTTTGCTTCTCAAGCCTTCTGTCCAGCAGGGAGAAGATGTATACCCACTCCAGACTAATGTCGCCTTTATTCACTGACTAGCAGCACAGCCCAGGTCTCCCGGGACCCAGCCCAAGAGGACAGTGCTTGCAGTCCTGCTCCCAGAGACTCCCAGATGGGAACTGGGCCCCTCTGCACCAGCCCGAGTTGGGGCTCCATAAATGTCAGGCCTGGAGTCCTCCCTTCCTCCCACTGTCAGGTCTGTGCAGAGCCGAAGGTCAGGGCATTGCTCTTGGGCATTTGAGTGCTAAGAACGGTGCCAGGCTGGCTGGTGAGTGAGGCTCCAGTAGTCAGAGGCAGATGGGCAGCTGCTAGCAGGTGGAAGCTAGCAGGTGGTGGAAGCGGGCAGGGTGCAAACTGGGAGGTGGCATGGATGGCAAGGGTCAAAGCAGACAGTGGCTGGATGCCACACAGGTCCCCCTTCCCCAGCAGGAGAGAGTGCTAATCTGGAGCGGACAGGAGTGGAGGCCCCAGGATTCAGGTGCACAGCCAGGAACGGCTGCAGGCTGTTGGAGTGCAGCAGCAGGCGGGAGGGACCAGGGATAGACTCCGTGCAGTGGAGGCTAATAAAGGCCTGAGTGCCTCGCCTGCGGCCCTGGAGCCCCAGAGACTAGGGGCTGGAGAGGTGGTAACCACGACACCCTCCAGCCCAGGCCCACCGCCAAGCTTCCACTCCAAGTCCTGGGCAGTCTTCCGCTCTGTCCACCACCTGCGAGCACTGCTCCGGGGATGCTGAGTTCTGTGGCCACAGGGCCGGGGTGACTAAACTGCCAACCTGCAGTGGGGACAAGGAGAGGGTTGAGGACCCGGCTGGGAAAGGCCACTCTGACACTGAGCCAGGAGCCTGCAGACCTGGAGGCTTTTTCAGTGAAGTCTCAAGGCACAGGGACTGACCTGACCCAGCACTTCCTGTAACACTACAGAGCCCTGCTCCAGGAGGCCAGACAACCCGCCTGGTTCTGCTGAAGTTGAGGGTGTGTCCCGAAAGTGCCCACAGGGGACCAGGGACCTGCACTGCACGGGTCGCCAGCCATCCTTGCCCTACTGGGGGAAGCAAGGGGAAAAGAGCAGGCGCCGGAGAGGGCTCTGCTCCACCCAGGCTCACCCTTCCCAACCGTGTGACCGTGGGCCAAGTGTGGCCATAATCTGTCAACAACATTCAGTGTCCTTTGCTCTACTGGGAGGGGCTGGACAGATTCGTAGGCAAGGAGACTCTTAATGCCCTTCGCAAAATTCTGGAAGGAATCTCAACTAAGATCATTAAGACCTCATCATTTCAAAAGTAGCATTTTAAAGTTTAATTTCTGTGCTGTGAAAGGAAAAGATGTGTAGAAAGGACTCTTCTGTGTGTCTAAAATAACCCACACCAGTGTGCAACACAAATAGACCAGGTATGTGGATTTTACAAAACAGGTCAATGTTAGCATCTTTAATATGTAAAGGACGCGGAGAAGTCAGCAAGAAAAATAATTGCAGCAAATACTAATTTGTTGCATGGATGGATAGATGGATGAACGGGTGGTAGAAAATCCTCAAAAGAAATGCAATTACAACCACACAGAACAAAACAGATAACACACACCAAAAGATTCACTGACACCCAAATAAATGAAAATGGAAACAGTGATATCCTATTGTCCTCTGCCTATCAGACGGACCGAGCTCTGTGAGTGGCAGACGTCATGTGGAGCAAGAAGGCAGCAACACGGCAGCTGATGCTGCAGGTAGAAAGGGAACTGGGGCCGCTGTTCTAGAAACTGTTTGCCAACACCAATGCCCGTGGGAATGTTCTTACCGTCTGGCCCAGTGATTCCACTTCTACACCCTCTCCCGGAGAGGGGTTCCCCAGTGAGATGGGGTCTATGTGCAAAGATGCTCGTGTGTTCACGCTCCGTAACAGAGAAAGAGGGGGAGCGCCCAGACACCTGTCTGTGGAGGCTGCTACAGCAGTCTGGGGTGTACCTGCACGAGCGGGTGGCCCAGCCAGTGGGACAGATGTCAGGCCCATTCTAAATGGCTGACACAGAGGGGTAAGAAAGTGGGGTGTTCGGGTACGATTCCCACTAAGCACAGGAAAACAGGTGTGGGAAAACCTGTGCAGAAATACACCGCGGGCCAGGACTGTTCCCTGCCAAGGCCTGTGTTTCCGCAGCCCTGCCATTGCTACACCAGCACGTGACGAGGCATGCCTGGGCACATGCAGACGCAGACAGACCCTTACATGCTCCCCGCCAAGCGCAACACCACGGTGCGGTTTCTCATGTGGTGCAGGGTGTGAGACAGGCACGCGCACAGAACCGCCGCTGGGCTCTACCTTTTCACACAGGGCAAGCACAGTTCCGGCTTGGATTATTGCAACCTGTTCTTCATTTCTCAAATTCTAAAACACAAAAACGGGCAAGGGCATTTTACACTGGATCCCCGGCCCACAGGCAGACAGTCAGCACTGGGCTCCTCTCTGAGCTACATCCCGAGAATCCACCCCACTCACTAAGGGGGGCTAGCAGTTCAAGGCAGACAGATGGCTCCCGTCCCTCTGCTTGGAGACTCTTTGTGTACTGGCTCTTTGCAAAACAGCCTCTTCAAGCCAATCTTTTAGAAAGACAAAAACCTCACTTTCTGACTTCAGCAATCTCGAGTAACCCTGTTTTCCTCCGGTAACTTGCTCTTCAGGTCCTTGTCCCCTTTGTCACTCACAGGCTCTAAGGACGCTTTGGAACCCCACTCTGACCAAAGCAGACCCGACCACCCACTCAGGAGCACGGCTACCAAAGCCTCACATTGTACTTATTGGAGCTCTTAAATTAGAGAGAAATTTTAAAACCAAACAAAAAAATCACACAGAATACACCCAGATCAAAACAAGAACACAAAACCAGAAACCGATCGCTCATAGTTACCCCATTATCGCCAAGGATATCTAATTTCTTCATAAGTTCAGAAATATTCACATCCTGGAAAAGATTTCCAACGTTCATTTTTGTGTGAGCTGAAAGTCCATGCACAGCAATTCCTAGAGGCCTCGGCATGCCTACAGAGGCCAGAGCTCTGCACTCAGCCGTGCCCCCAGGGCAGAGGTGGGCACCCTGGCAAGGCCCTGGGTGGGTCTGGAGGGTGCCATCCCAGGACCTAGTAGGGCTCCAGGCCAGGCAAACCCTGGGCCTTACAGCAACCACAGCTCCTTCTGCAGAGCCCTTCCTGCCCGCAGGTACTGGGCTGCGCACTCGCCTGGGTTCATTGTCTAAAGGCGTGGCCACCCCAGCTCCATACACAGCGGCTGCCATTTGCATTTCAGAGCCCAAAACTGGGCTTCGGAGGGGCTCAGGCCAGAGCCAGGCATTTAGAGTGGAGTGCATTTAGCCCACATCCCAAGTACTGAGGCTTTCCATATGGATAGAGGGGACATTTGGTGGCCTTTCAAAAAACCAACTATGGCTTTCAATGGGCATCTTGGACATCCAGTGCTACCAATGCTATCCCTGGCCCAGGGACACGATCCCCCTTGACCCCAGAGCCTGGTACTCGGGGATCCCTTGCCATTGGCTCAGCCAAGGCCCCCCCGCACGCTACCTTCACTCCTTCCTGGTGACAGAACAGCTGGAGGGCGCTGCTGTTGTTCTCGGGGAAGGCGGTGATTCGGAGGTTAAAGGCTGAAGACCCCCGCTCTCTCTCCTGGGGAAAAGATTCGGTTTCAAGATGGAACTTGATTGGATTATTTACCACTTGCCATTTTCCCCTGTTAGCAAAAACCAACACATTCCGGTTGGCCAAGATTCAACAATCACAAAGCACATATCCGGACCACTTGATCCTTGTCCAAGAATACGAAGCCTTTGGGGCTGTCCAGAGAGGGACCCTTCAGGCATCTGTTTACTTCTTACCTACTCAGCTAGGAAGAAGCAGTTAACAGGGCCTCGGGAGTCTGCCTACTGCAAGATCAAAACCCAGGGTGTCACAGGATCACAAATCTGCTAAGAGCAATGGCACTGTGCTTTGATGGGGAACAAAAGCCACAGGTGCGGTGGATCGCTCTGTCCAGGCACATGGTTATCCATTTAACCCTCATGCAAACTAAGGAAGCAGGCAGCACCGTTCTCCCTTTGTAGACAAAGCTCAGGGACACAGAGTCCAAGATGGGGGAGCAGCAGGGCCAGGCCCAGCTGCTGTCTTCACTTCCTTTCCATATAAGCAGTTGGCTCTGCTCACAATTTTCTTTGAACCACATGAACAGAACCAATGATGATTCTGTCCCTCCCTTAGATTTATCGTCACATCTCAAGAAGGGAGAATTTTCCTCAAAGAGGCATTTAGGAATCATACACCACATGACAAGGCCTTAGAAAGGCTAGGAGGAGCCATAGTGCTCATACACTGTCAGGACAGAACCCTGGTCTCAAATGTGGCTTAAACCTTCAGCACCGGCGGGAGTCACTGGGCCGGTAGGGAAGGCTCTTTCAAATCACACTTAAAATCAAATTGCTTTGATTTGATTGAAGAAACTACAGTATGATAAAAATAACTTGCTTTGGGTGAGGCTAGTGGAATTGGGCCAATGGGCTCGGATAATTCAAACACAGGAAATAACAGGATGAGCATGAGTTTAGCAGGCAGGTCGCACACTGCTCTTGTGGGGCCAGAGAGCTGAAGAAAGAGGAGGAACTGCCAATTCCATGATTTCCAGGAAGTCCCAGCCCAGCCAACCTAGGTGTCAGTCTTTGAGTCCTTCCACCAGTGATTCGAGTTTGAGTGGAGTCTCCACAGAAGACACGAGCCAAGAAGCTTATATTTTCTAAGAATAGAAGTCAGAAATCTGATTTCCAATGGCTCTGAAGGCCACTGGACACATTTAAAGAAAGTTCCAGTAAACCATGCAGTGTCTCCTAACAGGGACATGTGCAAGTTCTGCTCACGGTGGCAGAGGTATTAACAACGACCTCCCACGACCTCCTGCTTCAGAATCATGAATGAAATATTCAGGTCAGGTAAGCAGTGAGTCACACGGTACCCTTGGTGCTGGGAGATTCTCGGCCCAGTCCCTGGCAACAGGACAAGATTTGGGCAGTGAGTTCTAATGCAGACAGAAGTTTTAACTCAAGCAGGAGAGAAAATAAAATCAGAAAAGCCACAGACACTGTGAGGTGCTCACTCAGACGGAGGGTCACACATGCAAGGTGTCAGCGGAGAGCAGCAGCGCCACGTCGCTGCGAGAGCTCAGGGAAGCTCGTCACAAACTTAAGTGATGTTGGAGATGCCGATGACTTTTAAATGGAAACAAAGGGGGATTATGAAGTACCATGAGCGCAGGCAATGCAGTAACACACCCGAGGCAATACTGTAGGTGGGAACAAGAAAACCAACAATATCCATTCTCCGTGCGTCCCCTTGGTGCACGGCAGGGGTTCTCAGAAGTCCCTCCCACTCTGCCCCAGGAGTTCTGAGTCACAGTCTAAATCTCACACACTAATTCCTTTACCCCATTTGCTGCGGTGCCCAGCCTGCATTTACTGGAATAAAGTTTGAGCAAAGTGACTAGTTGCAAATACACCCTTCTCCCCTGCCTCTACTTACCTTGAGTGTCCCTCAGCAAATAGAAAAGGGGCCCAAACTGACACTAAAAGCACTAGAGGGCCAAGGGCTGGCTGGGTCGGACTCTCGACTTTGAGAGGTGAGAACTGCTACATGCAAGGTACTGAAAAAGGTGTTATCAACTGCTGCCAGCAGTGCTTCTGTCTGGGTTTGCAGAACGCAGACCCGGTGACTACACATGCAGGGAAGAAGTAGTTATGGAAATGAAACACAAATAAAAAAGGCAAAATATTGCAAAAACAAATTATTTTATTAAGTGCAAAACAAGCCGTAGGCAATAAATATATTAGCTCTGGTACAGGTCCACAGACTTCGGCGAGCATCCTCCCCAGAACATGTTAAGGCAGTGAAATATTCTGAACATACAGATTTTTAAAAAAGAAGAAAGAGAGGAGAGAAACGATAACATGTCCCTTCACACATGCTTGGAAACGGCAGGGGGCTTTACACGAATTTCAATTTGGGCTCAAAGAGAATGTCTGCTCCATTTGAGAGCTTACAACAGATAGAGTCTCTTACTTCGAGTTCTAGCACTCTGAATTCTAACAGCTCGTTCTGATCCTTCGCATCTTGCATTTCACTCTTCAGCTGGTTCTCCTCCATTTCTAGCCTGTAAATCTAGAGCAGAGACACCTGGGTGTTAACGGGTGGTGGCTGCTGCTGTCTCGCACCTGGGTCCCCAATGGGGAACTGGCCACCAGGGGAGGGGGCAGGAAGGGCAGGGCTTGCTGCAAGAGCTCCGGCAGACACTGGGGGAAGGAAGGAGAGAGACAGGGGCTGGGCTGGCTTCACCCCCACAGCACCAAGTCTGGCTGCTTATACACTTGCTGAACGAAGGGATGGTGAGGAAACAAGACACAGAGCCATCCAGCCCCTTGCCCAACGTCACCTCGGTGGGGGAGGAGGGTGCAATATGGGGCTTCTGCTCTCAAAGCCTGTCTAGGGTCCCTCCAACTCAAGCCCAGACCAGCCCACCTGGGCAGGACCCAGCAGGCTACGGCTCAGGTCTCGCTCAATTCCTGCAAAGCTTTAAGACACGGATAGCACAGGCCAGTCAGGGAGGGAGATCACTAGCATCGCTGCCCGGCTGCATGATACGATACGCAGCTGCTTCAGGCCTGGCTTTCTACCCAGGGAGGGTGACAGCTGCACCATGGCCCAGCAGCACGGCCCAGCAGCACAGCCCAGGGGGGGATCACCAGACAGCGTGCAAAGGCTTGGGCACTGGGCGTCCCCTGAACCCATGCACCACCACACTCCTCCAGTCAGGAGGAGGACACAGAAGCGCTCCCTTCTGGGCTGGTCTCAAACCCAGGGGACATTTAGAAATGGGCTCCCGGAGCTCACCAAGCAAAGTCAAGGTTGCTGAAGCTCTCCTGACCCAGGGCTGTCTCACAGGACAGTGAGTGGTCTCACCCAAGCGCCCAGATGAAAGCAAGGCTAAGAGCCAGCAGTGGCCACACAACTGACCAGCAGCAGGGCTAGGATAGACCAGCACTGCTCCCGAGGGGCAAGGCCCAGCCCATCCAGTGCAGGCATTCAGGGAGGCTCCACAGCGGAGGCCCAGCCCAGGGATTGGGCCCCTTCTCGAGATTGCCCACAAAAGACATTCGACTCCACAGACTTAAGAAGCACGGGTGGGGGGTGCTGGGACCCAGAGGGCAGGGAATACTGAGTAACCCAAATGGGCAGGGCTGAAGCATCCTAACCTTGGAACTTGAAATTTATTTGAAAATGACTAGCTGGGTGCGGTGGTGCATGCTTGTAATCCCAGCACTCGGGAGGCAAAGGCAGGAGGATCCCTAAGAGTTCGAGGCCAGCCTGGGCTATATAGTGAGTCCAAGGCCAGCCTGAACTAGTGAGACCCTGTCTCAAAAAACCAAAACAAACAAACCAACAAAATGACTGAGCTGTACACCAGCAAGAAGCCACAATCTTTGTCCCGACACATTTGATTGCCCCACGTGGTCTCCGGGGGGAGCTCTGGACCTCTGGGACCAAAGGGCTGGATGGAGGCTCAGCTCCCACTTGGCCTGGCCAGGCCTGAGGGCCTGCCTTAGTGTCCCCCACCCAAGGGGACTCTGGAACCCCAAAGCAACGACAGAGGCGACCTGGAAGTCCACTGCTGGGGACAGGTCAGCACTTCCGCAGGGCACCCTGGGGATGGTCTCATCGGCTCCACAGGCCCAGCCAAGAGGACAGAAGCAGGGCTGGGCATCATCTCAGAAGAGAGGGGAATGCGCCTCTGAGAGCTGCCAGCCCTGGGCCCTGGGCCCCAGACGGCACCGAGGGCGGGCCCAACGCAGTAGCCTCACCGAGGCTCTGCGGGGTGACATACCTTCTCCAGCAGGTCTTGGTTTGTCCTGATGAGCAGCTGCTTCTCCTCCACCCACGTGGAATCCTGTGGGAAAGCACTGAGTGTGTTCACCCCCGAGGGAGCAAAGGCGGCCAGTGACACACTCGCAGTGAGAAAGCCCACGGCCCATCAAGAGGTGACTCATCCTCTCTCTGGGCCTTAAAACCCAGGAAAGCGGGAGATGGGTGTGCGGGGCACCTTCCCGCCTTGCTCAGCCCCACAGGCGCCGCACCTGCTGGGTGTCACACACACAGACGCTGCTCCTGTGGCAGACTCACCCCCAAGGCCACACACCTGAGTCCTCGAGAGCAAAGTCCCCATCTAGGGTCTGATCTCAGGCAAGTGGAAGGTCCAGGGAGGCCCCAGAGGCTCTCAGCTTCCCCTGAGCACAGAGCCGCGTCCATCCACCTTGTCTTCGCTCTGCAATGGGACTCAAGCCCTTCCAGCAACCCCAACCCTGAGGCTGGCCTGGCTGAGAAGCGCTGTGGCTGCTGGGACATCAGCAAATGCAATTCGAGCAGAGACCTGGAGAGCGCTGTGCGCGGGAGGGCTGCCTATGTTTGCTGCCTTCAGACCACCAGCCAAGGAGGCTGGGCTACATCTTGGAGGAGATGACCAGGCCCCAGCTGGTACCAATGACCCAGTGGGAAGGCAAGGCCATTCTGGGCTATCTCGTCTCAGGGACAAAACTGGCCCCTTCCTTCAGCAGGCACAGGAGGCTGAACTGGCCCGAAAACATAGGATCTCTCATATCCTAATCCAGGAGGCAGAGTCAGTCATAGCCTGTGATCAGGCAAGTTATAAACACGAGCTTAGCCTGGAAGAGGGAAACAGGCCAGTGGAAAGTTAGGATGCCGTCTGGGAAAGCCTGTCCTCTCTCACGCGGTTCTCTCCTTTCAGGTCTCCCCACTTCCCACTCCCCAGGTGCTCAGTACTATCATTAGCACCATCTTAAAATAAGGACACTGAGGTTACACAGCCTGGCCGAAGTCACACAAGAAGCGGCAGGGCCATCGCCTGGCTCCAGGTGTGCTCTCTGCAGCACCTTCCTGCCTCGGGGAGAGACCACGACTCCCACACCCGGTCCTGGGCCAGGCGCCCACACACCCAACCCAGTCTCTTCACAGCTGGGGCTGCCACACACGCACCTCAGCCACACTGAGCGCTCGCCCCCGACGGGGGTCGGTGAAAAACGGCCCCTGAGCCCCGTGCTCTGCAGCGCCCTCCCCAGGTTCCTCCCTGTGTGGCCTGGCACCACTCACGGACCCTTCTCTTCACTCACCACCCTGCTCCCAACTCCCCACCAGCCCCGCACCCGGGGGCAGGGCCAGCATGCCACAAGCCACCCCACCCACCCACATGCTCCCCGCCCCTTGGCCAGCAGTGGGGCCAATAAATGACGCCAAGGCAGGGAGAGCTGCAGGTGGAAGAGAGCTCTGGGTGGTGGCCTCCAAGGACCAGCAGATGACCCTCAGCCTATGGACACAGGGGGCTAGCAGGAAATAAATCAAACCCATCAAGATGCCCTGGCTGTCTGCTACCATGACCAAGCTTTTCTGACTCAGGCAGGGCCACCATACAGCCTCCAGGCTGGTTCCGCTGCAGGGGACACCCCCATGTCACCCTGGTCCAGGGGCAGGGCTGGGCCCAGGAGCCACCTCTCCAGGCCCAACCTGACTGAACCCAGAGCCCAGACTCAGTGGTAACTCCCCCACGTGCACAGGGCTGGATTCCCCTGTGACGCTCCGTGACCTACAGTGCCTCTGAGATCACTCTGTTAGTCTCAGGAGTTGGGAAATGGCAGTTTTCCTCAGGGTCGAGTCAGAAAAGGTTCTGGTCACCACTTTGCTTTGGAAACTATCTCCTATTCTTACGCATTTGGCAAACAAAAGGAAGAAAAAGCCAAATTAGACCTTTATTACACTGGGTAGCATACTGTAGCCTGGGTTCAGCTCATGCTTTTTTCCCATTGTTCCCGGAATGCCCACTGAGCTCCACAGAACGGCGACACCACTGTGAGGACAGAAGCATAAAGATGCACGGAGCACACGACCATTCCTGCTCACCTGTCCCCTCTCAGCCAGCAACTTCTCCAAGTCTTCGATCTTGGCCTGACACCGCAGCAGATCAGCCTGCAGCTGCTCCCGAGTCTGGAACAGAAAGGACCCAGAAGTGAGCAGGTCACCTGGGCGCACACAGGGGACCCCGGGGACGGCCCTTGCCCTAGGACCTCAGGTCCAGACCTGGCCTGGAACGGCACTGAGCTCATCTACCAGCTGCTGACATAAAACTGAGGAACCAAGACGTCTCAAGAGCTTCGGCTCTAACTCCCTTGACTTCAGACAAGGAACCCGAAGCACGGAGAGGACACCGGTTGCTCTCGGGGGATGAGTGAGCCAGAAACCAGAAAGTCGGGGTGCGAAGCCCAGCAGTGCGCTCATTCAGCAATCACCACGATGTCAAGCACGTTCCTCCATGCTTAGCTGCCTGCTCGGGTCCTTTGGCAGCTGCAGCAAGGGCTAAAAACCAGACTGCTTCAAGGACCAGGCAAGGTATGTAAGCCGGGGAGCCACGTGAGCACAGGCAAACAGAAGGCACGGGTCCCACCCAGGGCCACTGCTACTCGGCCACAGCCAAATACTGCGGGGGGAACAGGAAGCCCAGGGTTGCTGCATGGTCTGACCTTGCAGGAGGATCAGGATTTCTCTCTACGTGTCCCCTGTGCTCTCAGAAGGGTGAGCAGATCCCGGTCTATGTGCCTCCCAGGTGGGAGAGGGGCTGGGGAGGAAGTTTCTAGAAGACGGAGCACAGCCCAGCATGAGAACGAGTGGCCAGGACCAAGGGGAGCTGGCCAAGTGCCCATCACTGATACTCAGGGAAGCCCTGCAGGAGAGGAGTCCGTAGCCCCTGGACTGGCTGAGCCTGTGGCCCCAGATCCAGGCCGAGGTCCTGAAAGCATTGTCTCTTGCCCAGGTGACAGATGACAGGCAACTCCAGGTGCTGGGGCCCCTGCTGCCCTACCAAGGACAGAGATAGCTCCAGAACAGTGTCACGACAGAGAGCTTGCTATGAGTGTTCCGTCACCTCCAGAAACCCTCCAGGTGCCACCGGCAGGGGCCACGAGAGGACCACCCCCCCCCGCAAAGGACGCGCATGACTTGCCTCCAGCCCCAGCAGCCCGCGGGCCGGGCACTCACCCGGGCCTCCCGCTCAGCATCCAGCGTCCCCCCGACCTGCTCCTGAAGCAGGGCGTAGGCCCGCTGCAGGGCCTGGTACTCCCGGGTCAGCTGGCAGAACCGCAGGTCGGCCTCTTCTCTGGCCGTGCTCTTAGGGTAACAGAGAAGGAAGATCAACCCACCGGTGATGCCGTGTGGCTTCGAGTGCCGGAGCCAACGCAGACAAACTCTCCTGTCCGTGTGTCACAGCTGTCACAGCCGCGGCCTACAGGAGCCTAGCGAGCTGGTCACCGCCAGACACCTTCACCCACCCTCGGCATCCTTCCCAGGAGCTCCCTGACCCCTAGGAGTCACTGAGTTACGTGGGAGTGGGAGAAAGGGGAGGGAACCACGGAGCCACCCGACCCCAGCACGGGTGATTAAGCTGTGGGCCACCCGAGCCCCACGTCTGGCTCTGGGAGTTTCTCCTAATCAGGGAGCCACATAAGCACGCAAAGACGCAAATTCCATTAGGGCACCAGCGCATCGTTGCAGCTGTGCAGAGCTGGAAACCACATAAAAGCCCAGATGGGGACCATGAAACAAACGGAGGATGGACACGCATGTAAAGTCCCCATGAGGTCACGGGAGGGGAAGACGCAGAGTCACATATTTTGGTGCTAAAAGAAGCCCATTGCCTGTCTTCGGCTGAAAAGAAAAGCAAATCATTTATAAAAGCCCATGTCTGGGGCTGGGGATGTAGCTTAGTGGCACCATACCTGCCTCGCAAGCACAAGGTCCTGAGTTCGATCCCTGGTACCAAAAATAAAAGTGTCTGGATGATCCTGTTCAGATTCATGTAAGAGAACAGCAAAATGGGACTCAGCATGGGGCCAGAAGCCCCATCAGACACTCAGGCAGGAAGCGAGATGGACCACAGTGTCTCTGTTACGACCAAGGGCCCTCCCTGTCAGTGAGGCCTGAGGCCGATGGGCTGATGGGACGACAGCATCTTCCTCCCAGTGTGAAAAAGGGTGTCAGGGGGACCGCTAGGAGAGGTGACATGAATCTCCTAAAGTTTGGACACACAATAGCAGAGCAAAGAGGAGGCCATCCCTGGGGACAGGTTTGAGAGTGCCCACAGCACGTGCCAGGTTTTCCTGTGGCCTCATGGACTCATGGAGGGAGGCAGCCTGGATGTCATTCTAAAAGGCCACCATGCAGGGGAAAAAGACCCCAGCCTGAATCTATGGGAGCCAGCTCTATCTGGGGTCCGAGGTGGGGATGCCTGGAGTTGCCATGCCCATCCCCCAGCTGAGAAGCTGCAGGGAGCAGTCCTGGCCCAGAGCTTGTGAGAACCCAGGCAAGCTCCACGGAAAGCCACAGCAGCCACCTACTCCAGCCACTGGCCACAGGTCTACGATCCAACTGTGCCTGGCAAGGCCACTTAACCACTGTTAAGCCTAAATGTCAACTTGATTGGCTGGGGAGCTGCCTAGGGGATTAGTAGAGCACACTTCTGTGTGTGTCTGGGTGGTCATGGAGCTGTGACCTTGGGGACTATATCTGGTCCCTGCCCCTCCTCTCTGGCACTGTTCCCCTGCTCTGCTCCTGGCCACCATGAACTAAGCAGCTCTGCTCCTCCACACCCTTCCACCAGGATGTTGCTGCCTTGGAGCCAGCCGACCATGGACTGAATCCCCAGAAATTGTGAGCAACCTAAGCCTCCCCTCCTGTAAGTAGTAGGCCAGGTATTGTGTCCCAGTGATGAGACAGCTGGCACTGGATGCAGCCACCCGTGCCTCATCCAGGGCCCTGCCTGGGCTCAAAGCCACAAGGAGCTGCAGGGAGAGAGGCAGAAGAGCCAGGGAGGGGACAGTAGCCAGGCAGACAGGGTGGGTGGGCAGGAAGGGAAGGTCACCAGGCATGGCCACTAATGTCACTGAAAGATCCAGAAATCCACAGGGTTTATGTGGTGCTCCTGTGGGAATTCGGCAGGGGTGAGGAGCAGAGAGAAGGAAGCGCTCTGTGCACCTGGGACACAGCCCAAACCCCAGGAGGGGTTACAACTGAGGTGGCCCAGATGGTCAGGAGAGGGGGATGCGGTGACCCAGGGTGATAGGGCTTTGGACAGTTTCTTCCTGCCTCTCTACTCAGCAGGGTTTGGATTTTCTGCTACAATGATGCTTCCACTTTGTACTCAAAAAGGCAATGATGCTGCTTCCACCGGGTGGGGTGTGTGTGTGTCTGTGTGTGTGTGCATGTACACATGGGGGGGGCGGTGTGGAACAGCTGCAGATGGCAACCATACCAGGGCGACACAGATGCTGTCCTTGCTGAACTCACCGCCGGGAAAGAGGTCCCAGGCAGCCCCACTGCCAGTCGTAGAAGGTCCATCCGTGCCAGCAGGCACCACCCTCCCACGGGCCGAGGCTCGGACAATGCAGTGAGGAACCGAGACCGGGGTGGAGCTCCGGGGGAGCAGCCTGGCACGAGACACAGGTGGGCGTCTGGCACACACCCTGTCTGCTTACCTCGTCCAAGTCCTCCTCAGGGGTGGCCGGGGTCCTGTCGGTCCTGTCTGTGTTGTAGGACATCTCCGACAAAGTCTCCGAGTCCACGGACTCCTCGTCAAATCCAAAAAATGTCTCCACAACATGCTTCTGTAAGAGGCAACAGGCAGGATGTCAGGAACAGACTGAAGACTGCGAAGCCCTTACACTCCCACCAACCACTCAGGCTCGGGCGGTTCCCGCGTCCTGGTTGGTTGGTTGGTTGGTTTGATTTTTTGTTTTTTGAGACAAGATCTCACTATGTAGCCCAGTCTGGCCTTGAACTAGGTGATCCTCCTGCCTCAGCCTCCCCTGTGCTGGGATTACAGGAGCGCACCACCACACCTGGCTCTATGGCCCATGCCCTGTACACCAGGTTCCAGGTTACCTGCCCTGCACTTCTCCACTCCAAACACCACTGGATCTGAGGCTTCATTTACTCATTCAGCAAACCCTGCCTGAGTAGCTTCCACAGCCCAGATGCTGGGTTGTTCCCTGGGGGTCACATGATCACAGAGCCCCAACCCAGGCCCATCCGGGCTCTCACCTCTCACCGGCTGCTGCAGACCCCTGGCACCCATGGCGGGGCAGGGCGCACCCCACGCAGAGGGCTCCTCCCACCCTGGTGCTTCAGCCAGTGCTGTCTGCAGTCATGGGATTATGACACTGAGGCCACCATCAACAAGGCCATCAGCACTGCCCTCTAGGTTTAACTGTGTGGGGCGCCTGCCTGTCCCGAACCCCAAACCCATGTGTTGGCCATGCCCGCAACACAGGGTCCCGGTGGGTGTTGGATGAAGCCCCCAGCCCCGCCCCCCTCCTATCTGTGTCCATGGTGGCAGCAGCTCCTGCCTCTCAGGCGCTCAGGCCCACAGCCAGGACCCCACACCCTGCCTGCCCTCGCCCATCCTCCACCCTCAGCCCATCCAAGCCACTGTCATCTCTTCGGAAACCACTGAACCACCCTACCTGCCTCCCTGCTCCTCCTGCCCTGGGTCCTCGGCCTGCAGCCAGAGTGACTGGTATAAAACAAGCAGACACCCTGGGGGCGCCCCGATACCATGGGGGGCTGGCCCTGTCACTCCCCTCCTCCTCTGGCCCAGAACGTGCAGCAGCCCTGGGAGCTCCTCTGCATCCCCGCCCTGCGTCCCTGCCCTGCATCCCTGCTCACCCTCGGCACCTTACTTCTTGTAAACACTGCTAATTGCCAGGCCTCTGGTGACATCTGTTCTCCTCCGTGGCTATGGAGGCGGCAGTGATCCCTGCCCTGCCCCAAGGCTTCCAAACAACCAGGACAGCCCTGTGGCCAGGACCACAGACTGGCCTGGAGATATCGACTTCACTACCGAGGATGAAACCTCAGGGGGCTTCAGGTTAAGTCCTCCATTGCCAGGCCCAACACCAGGCATTAACTACGGCTTCCACTCTGGGCTTGGAGCAGAGGGTCACTTGTCAACAGCCTGAGTCAGACCCCAGGGGACCCGGAGGGTGCACGCTCCCCCCTGGGACCAAAACCAAAGGACCAGGCTGGACTAAGGGCAGCCGGAAGTGGCTCCCAGGAACCCAACTCGAACACAGACAGTGCCCTGGGCCCTGCAGCACCCGAGGGGATCTGGCGACACAATCCCCGGGACTTCTGCAGCAGTGAGAGGGGAGCCGGAATCCCAGCTTCTATGCCACATGGACAGGGCCTGTGTGTCTCCTCTACGGGCTCCTCCACCTGAAGGTGGCAGGAGGGGGCTGATGTAACTCATCTGCTTGCGGCTTCAGCGCTACAAAGCGAGGCAGACGCATCTTGGTGCTGAAAGTGAACATGGGGCTGTATGAAGGTGACACAGCCTGTTCCATGCTGCTTCTCCAGACCTACGGGAGCCATGCCTGCTTCCCAGGGCAGGGGAGGGCCGCCCAGGAGACCCTGCTTCTCAGGTGCCTGGAATAGACCGGGCTTTGCAAAGACGCAGAGCACCGGAGAGACGAAATTTTTACATCTCGATTACGCTACCCCTCCATGGGCATTTCCTGTGGTACCTTAAAGCACAGGTCCCCATCATTTGCTCGTTCTGAGCATATCTACATTTAAAAAGGGAGGCCGAGGCAGGAGGTTCCCAGGTTTCAGCCCAGCCCAGGCAACTTAGCAACCTGGTGAGACTCTGTTTCAAAATAAGAAATAAAAAACCAGGTTGGGGGTGTGCTCAGTACAAAGGCCCTGGGTTCCATCCCCAGTGATTTCCATTCTCCTTACCTTGCCTGGCTGAGTTCTTTTTACAAATGAAGCAGACTTTAAAATGCAGTTTGGGCACCAATGACTGCAAAGCAAACCCCGCCTCTCCCTGGACACTTAGTGTGCAGGGCGCCCTTGTGCAGCGTCAGGGCACAGCTGGGGATGGTCACAGCCCAGCCAGGCAGCTGCCTACCTTCATGCCTGTAGGTCATTTCCTGGCAGCCCGAGAAGTAGAGGCACACCAGGGTGCAGAGGCAGAGGAAGAAGGAGAAGTAGAGCACGAAGAGGATGTACTCCATGGGGCGGGCTGACAGCTCAGCAGGCAGCCCCAGGGCCCATGCTCATCTCCAAGCCTCTCTGCAGTGCTAGGAAAACGCGGGTCCTCCCCCAAAGCCTTCTCCTGTCCTCCAGGCCACCTGCCCCACGTCCAGAGACTTCCTTCAGATCCCCAGGCTGCAGAGGCCTGGGCACGGGACACGGGGAAGGCACAGCCGGGCAGCAGGTCCCAGATGCCAGTGACGCCATAGAGCTGGGGAGACGGTTTCCAGGCCAGCCTGGAGCGCGTACATCGCAGGGGACAGCCTCCCACCAGCCTGTCCCTGGGGTCCTCACTCCCAGGGCCGTTGTCAACACCACAGCACAGGCTCCGTCCCCGGACAGCTGTGAGGCCCCAGGGGCAGCCGTAGCAATGGTGACAGGCGAGAGCCTTTGCCCTCCAGCCCAGCGCCCCAGTGAGAAGCCTCCCCTGGGAGAAGCCTCCCCTGGGAGGTGTCCCTGCTGACCGCCGCCTGCTCCCAGGTGCTTAATTCACTGGCTCGCTGGCAATCATTTCTCCAGGATTTGCCTACGATCTATGCAGCCAGAAATAAGTTGCTGTCCAGGGAAAACTGCAACTCGTGAGTGACAGCAAAGTCCCGGAGTCTCTGCCCAGGAGAGTTGTGCATTTCTTTAGTGGACAGCCCCTGCTAGGCCAGACATCAGAATTCCAGACCCTTGAGTGCAGCATTAGAAAAAGAAGCCAGCTTTTACATAAAAGACTAAGACACCTAGACTTTGACAGCCACCACAGCCACATTAAAAGACAACAGCCAGGGCCGAGGATTTAGCTTAGTGGTTCCAGCGCCTGCCTCGCAAGCTCAAGGTCCCAAGTTCGATCCCTGGTACCGAAAAAAAAAAAAAAAAAAAGACAATGGCCAGCTGGGTGTGGTGGCCTACACCGCACCTGTAATCCTAGGAACTGGGAGGCCGAGGCACAAGGACACAGGTGTGAGGCCGGCCTGGACAATGTATCAAAATAAGAAAAAGCTGAGGGTGCAGCTCAATGGCAAAGCGCCTGCCTACCATGCAGAAGCCCCAGGGTTCAATCCCCAGGACCACACACACACACACACACACACACACACACACAGCAACAGTCAATTCATAGCAGAGGAAACACAGCTAAGTGCCCAGATATAGTTCCACTTCAGTACTCCAAGATAGCCTCTTCCCTCTAAAGCGTCCACCCCATAAGCTGTGGAGCTGCATCCTGCTTTCCAGTTCAGTGCCCATGAGCCCTTGGCATCCTGCTTCCCTCCGAGGTACCCTCCAGTCAAGGAACAGCAGGTCTGGGCTTCTGCTGGACCCAAAGAGATACCCTCTCACTGAACAGATTGTTAGGCAGGCAGAGTGCAAACCATCAACACAGCCAGAGCCCTTTTGGGTCACCATCTGGAAAGCATCTACTAGCTACAAAAGCCAGTCTGGAGGACAGCAGAGCTGAGACAGGTTCTGAGCAACAGTGAGTGCCTGACTCCAGCCTCACCTAGACACCTCAGTTTCATAAATTGCTTTCTTCATTGAAGGGACTCAGTTTTTGACACCAGGCAAAGAAAAACCATTGACTAATGGGGGAAGAGTTAATCCTGGAAATCCAGTCACCTGCCAACTGCTGAGCTCTGGGATAAGCCCAAAGGCTGACTTCCACCCTGATCCACTCCAAACACCAAGGCTAGGGCCGTCAGCCTGGGAAGCACTGGTGGACAGGACAGCCTCTGGGCCTTGGGGACTCTTGGCTCTGCAGAACCATGAGCCATGTCCCGCCGGGCTGGCTCCTAGACCTGCTTAGACTCACACCCCTGCAAAAGGCTCTATGCCCTGTCACCTGGCAAAGCTGCCATACCTAAGGCAGACAAGTCTGAGAGATGGAGGACAGGCAGGGACAAGAGCCGCACTTCTGCAGCTTCCACCACAGAGCCGTCTGCATCCAGCATCAGGCCCTGGGCCAGCTCAGAGCAGGCAGGACGTCTGCAACGCCCTCTGCTTCTCCTAGCACGGAACACAGGAGCCGGACTGGAGGTCTGGGACGCAGACACGGTGCTGGGCTCCAGCCTCGCTCCTGGGCACAGGCGAATACGGCCCCAACCCAGGCCCCCAGCCCCACAGCACCATTATCTGGCCACCGCATCTGCTCACCTGTCCTGCGAATGTGGGTATGGGTGGTGGAAGGCACGGCACTATCTAGCTCAGCACCTGGCTGGCAACAGCCCGATCCTGGGGGCGCTGAGGCAGTGGTCAGAGGAGAAGCGGGGAATGCACACACTCATGGATGTGCGAGCGAGCTGCATGCGGGAGGAAGGAAACAGAATGCTGCGGCCTTGGGAGGGAGGACAGGGAGGTGGCCCAGGCTAGAGGCAGCCCTGGGAAGCTAATGCGCATGCCCAGGGTGCAGACCACCCCAAGGTCCACTCCATCAGGCCCTGCACAATGCTGGGGTTGGTGGGAGCAAGGGAGGGAAACAGGCCACACTGAATCTTGGGGAAAAGAGGAGAGGGAAGACACTGGCGGCCTCAGGACACAGGGGAGCTGCCTCGGGAAGTTTCTGTGCAGATTCCTAGACTGGCCTTCTCTCAGTGCAGGACCCTTTTTCTAGAAGTGACGTCCCTGTTCACGCAGATGCATTGCTCCAGGACAGCAGTGTATTTAGCCCCCCAGTTGCTCCCCAGGACCCTGTGGTGTGCTTCAAAGTGAGCAGGACGGGAGGGCGGAAGGCAGCCTCGTGCTTGTCTGTGGTACCCACAAGTGTGCAAACCCTCTGTAAGTTCCCTTCCCGTCGATATACTCAGAAAGCAGGAAAAGGTGGGGAAAGAAACTTTTTCATTCCAGGAGTCAAGTATCCCTCATCAGAAATGCTTGGGACCAGAAATGTCTCAATCTTCGAAGTTTTCCAGACTTCAGAACATTTGTATAGATTTTATCAGTTGAGTACCCATAACCCAGAAATCCCAAAATCCAAAATCCGAAAAGTTCTGAGCATTATGTTAATGCTCAAAAACTTTTGGATTTCCAATTCAGGGCCTTTGCATTAGGGATTCACTTCCTGCATAAGTTTGAAAAATAAAGTCATAGTTCAACAACAGGTTTCCTAAAAACCCCACCCATAAGATTTACAGGGTGTATAATGCCAAGCATATCTAGTCAAGCTACATACCCTTTAGATTTTAACACCCGTCCCATGGAGAAAATGGAGCTCTATGCTTAAATTGAGTCAGCTGCACAAAACAATGCAACTCTTCCATACAGCAGCAGGGGGCGCAGGTACCCCGGTCAAGCCTTTCACCATGGGCTCCACATTGCAACCATAGAGAACCCATTCGTGGGAACAATTCACTGTGGACGCAGTGCTCTGCACAAAGGGGCTTTGCTTTGGTGACATTTATAGAAGCAGAAAGTCCAACAACAGGGGAAAGGGTAACTAAATAATTGCGTAGCCATTGAATGGAATGTTCAACAGTCGGGGAATAAAATGGAACTGGCCCGGAAAGGCAGAAACACATTTACTGCGGCATTATTCATGACCCCAAGACACTGGAAGCAACATGCCCATGAGCTAAGGGTAGCAGACAAATTTATGGCCCATCTACTCAACAGATCACACAGCAATAAACACTTACCTGTATCACCGCCGTATATGACAGGGATAAACGCTTATAGAATAATGTGAAGGGGAAATCCAGGGTACAAAGGAGCATTCCACAGTCACAGCTGGAGGAACACATCCAAACCCCAATGCTCTTTTTATTTCCCCGTTCTTCTGAAAGCCGGATCTATCATTTCCATGAGAAAAATACATGTTATGTTGTAAGCAAACTCCTCTCACGCTGCTCCATTTGAGAGCTTCTGAGCTCAGCGTGCAGAGGTGCTCCCTGGTCAGCTCTGCTCCCTGGTCAGCCCCGCCTGGAGCCTGGAGCGAAACACCTGAGCCTCAAGGTCCCAGGCTGGAGTTTGGGCCTCAGCCCTGGCAATCTACCCTTTGTCTTTGAGCTGTTCCTGCATTTTACATCTGCAAGATTTCTTTTGAACTGGGAAATGGGAAAATTAACACCGACCTCACTGGGTGGCTGTGGGGATCCGATTAGACAATGTAAGAAACCACTCACCCGAGTATCCAGGACACAGCAAAAAAGTCAACTCACCCAGACCGTGCTGAGCAGTGCCAACCCATGTGCACTACCAGCCACCCGGCTCCCAGGTGCATTTTCTTTACCCCACACACGTATGGTCTATTTGGCCTCCAGTATCCTAGGCATCTGACCAGTGTTCAAAACCCCTAGATTTCACACAGTGAGGTGCTCCAGACTGAGCTGATCCTCAAAGAAGACATGGAGAAGTCCCAACCCCTGCGCTGCAGGGCGTGACCTCACAAGAAGCAGGGTCACTGCAGATGCAATTATCACATTAATGCAAGGTCGCAGCTGAGTAGGCTGAGCACCTACTCCAGTCTGCCTTGTGACCTTCTAGAAGGCCGTGATGTAAGGACACAGAGGCCCACGGGGGAGCCACATGGGGACCAAGGCAGAAAGCGAAGTGACACAGATCCAAGCAAGGAACATCTGGGACCGCTGAGAAGAGGTGACAGAGTCCCCAGGGTGGGAGCATGGCCCTGCCAAAACCCTCCCGGAGTTCAGACTCTGGCCTCTGCACCCTTAGAGAAGACATTTCTGCTGTCCCGAGTGACCCATTTTGTGGCACTCTGTTAACGCTGCCCTAGGAAACTAATATACAAGGATTTACACTTCTGGGGTGTCGGACACTGCCTGGTCCACCTTCTTTTTCTTTTCTAGTACTGGGCACTGAAGCCAAGGCCTTTGTAGTGAGCTACAGCCCCACCCTCTTCAATCTGATTTAATCTTTTCGAGACAGGGTCTCACTAAGTTGCTAAGTCATCCAGGCCGGCATCACACTTGTGATCCTCCTGCCTCAGCCTCCCAGAGTGCTGAAATGACAGGCATGCAGCGCCACGGCTGGCTTGGTCTGGGCTCTTACACCCACCGGTGTGCTGGGCCAGTCTGGTACATCCCCTCCGCTCCCTACTGCCGCTGCGCACTCAAGGCCACACATCGCTGGTCATCCACTATCACGCCTGCACGGCTGTTCCGCTCCCCTAAGACAGACGTCTCGCTATAGCTCCAGCCCTGGCAGAAGTAAAACAGGCAGGTGCCCAGCTCCGCAAAGGGAGAGGAGTCCGAGCCTCTGGACAGCATGCCCTTCTTTATGTTGGTACCGGGATTCTTTATGTTGATACCAGGAATCAAACTCGGGACCTTGCGCTTGCAAGGCAGGCGGCGGCACCACTGAGCCACATCCCCGGGCCCTAACCATGTCCTTCTTTTGAAGTCGCTCCTGTCTTTTTAACCCTGAGGCCTGGCCTAGTGGGCATCTGGGTCTCACAAGCCCAGCTCTCCGCTCTCCCTGCCATGACATTCAGACGCTGTCACCGTCAGACGGCAGGGCTACGTTTTACAAAAGGAACATGGTCCTGCATGACTGTAGGGAAAAACCCAAAGCTCCTGAGTGCCCAGAAGAGGATATTAGATGGTATAGACCGAGCCTGGGTGTCCTTTAGATCCTGCAAAAGGTCTGAGTGCTCATGTTTTTCATTTTGGGTGACTACACCCGGAGGCCTAAGTACAGAATCCATCGGTAAGTTCTCCATGAATAAATCACCATAAGTGGGTCTCATTGCACAGCCAGTGTGCACTGCTTTAAGAGGCAGCAATGGCAGCCCCTCCCAGAGGCCAGGCCGGCACCACTGTGACCCAGTCCCAGGACAGGGCAGGGCCACCGAGGAGCTCACCTTGGGCGGCTTCAGGCTTTTCCCTCGATGCCTCTTGGAGCGCAACAGCCGTTCTCTCTCCTGCAAGGAAACACAGCCCACTCCTGTCACAGCAAGCAAGCAGCAGGCTCCTGAAGCCCACGACACCACCACGGCTTCCTGGGTCCACAGGACAAGGTGGGTGGCTCCATGCATTCAGGCGACTCTGCTCGTCACCACAGAGCACTGCAGGTATGAGCAGGTGTGAGCCTGTCTGGAAACAGGCCCAGCTGGGCCGGTGCCTGCCACTCACACCACCTTTGTCTCCTTCTCCGGGGTCACCAAGCAGTGGGGACCGTACGCTGGCCCCCGTGCTCTTGGCAGACTCTGCCCACGCCAGCCGTGGAATGGGGACACGTGCGGCTCTGCATGTGGCCGGAGCTGGGGTCAAAAACCCCCAGAGCCCCCTCCCAGCCAGGGGCTGGCCTTTTTCTCCACCCTCAGGCTCCTCCTCTGCTGGGTGGGGCCAGAGCCTGCCTGCAGCATTGCTGACAGAGGAACTAGAGGCACGGGCAGCGGGTTCCTGGTGGCCACTGTGGGTAGGAAAGGCTCCCTAGGGCCAGAGCAGGAGGAGGAGCAGGCGCACCATGCCCTGCGGAAAACCTGGGACACTTTCCCTGTTTCCACCCGCCTCCTGCGGCAGCTCACGGAGGGCACTGAGCTCCAGTCTTCCTGATCTTCACCAAGGTTGTCTTTATTTTCCCTAGTCTCGGTTTTGGTTTATTATTCCTCACTTGATTTTATCATCGCTTTATTGGGTATGTGTTTTCCTCCTAAGCTGCATCAAGTTTGTAATGAAGCAAAGGTGGATGGACAATGGATAGGCGGAGGGAAAGGAAGAGAGAGGGAAGGAAGGAGGGAAGGGAGAAAGATTGAAAGAGCCCAAGGAGGCAGGCAGAGTGGGCCTGACCATTAGGGTCAAAGCCTTTCCCAGAATTCCAGGCGCCAGCTCTCCTACCCTTCAAAGCCCCCTGAACATGAAGGGAGGGACCCAGGCCTCTCCTCTGCGGCGGGCAGAACACACAGTGCCCCTAAGACCCAGCCACAGCTCCCCGAAGGCAGACCCCAGCGGGTGCCCTGCGGAACCCTCTGCAGAGGACACCTCACCCGCCTAAGCAGGCCCACTGCACCCCAGTGGTCACAAAACACATACAGCCTCAGCAAGCCCTCGAGTTCTGGTCCAATCACAAGGTCCGGGTGTGCAGCCTCAGGCTCACGCTTTCCAGCTGCTGAACTAAATAAAGAAGAATTCAAAGGCTTTTTAGGGACAGGTCAGGCCCACTCTGCAGAAGCCGGAGACTCAATCACCAAAAGAAGACTGCTTCGTAGGCATGGCAACCAGAGGACCACGGGAAGCAAGAGTCACCATGGAAACCATTCCCAGGTAGCAGTGATGGGATTTAAAGAAGCTGGGGCTGCTTTCTGGCAGAACAAATTGAGAGAGTGCACATCTCGATGAGGCTGGGTTCCCAACACTTCGCTGCCTCATCCCAGCCCTGGCTCCCCCGACGCCCACTCTGGTGCCACACATCATCTGCCACCCGTGCCAAGCAGGACCTACCAGTGAGAGGTCGTCTATGACGTGCTGCTGCTCCAGCACCTGGAGTCTCAGGAACTCTATCTCCTGCTCGTCCCTTGTCAGGCTGAGGTCGGTTAGGGACGTGTGGCGCTTCAGTGAGGCCTGGGCTGAGAGCTTCTCTTTCTACAGCCAAACGAGAGATCATGTGCCAAAGGGGGTCAGGGACACACTGGACGTGGGCTTGGAGGCACAGGGATAGGACACTGGGGGCATAGCAGCCACCTGGCCACCGAGCTGGGGGCTGCAGCCAAACCCAAGCCTGCGAGGTGGGTGACAGGCTCCTGCTGCTCTGACCCAAGCTCTGAAAGGTGGCAGGAAGTGGAAACAAGAGGTCCCCACAACAGTGGCCACACACTCACACCTGGATCTGCCACCGCAGGGGGAGATGGGCTCGCCTCACGAGCCTCAGTCCTCCAGGCTGTGAAATGGGTGGAGGATGCTGCTGCATAAACAAACTGGAGAACATCTTCCAACCCGTCCTGGCCACAGAGACCAGCCGCCCGCTGGAGGAAGAATTTCTCCTGCACAGCAGCCAGAGCAGGAGTGGGGTTTCCTGGGCCTTGCAGGGCACCTTTTTCCCACGGGAGGGCGCTGCAGTGTGGGCTTCAGGAGGAAACTGAGGCTCAGGGAGCACAGGAGTGGGACCAGAGGGGCAGAGGAAAGGGCAGCCGCGCTGCACTGGGTGGCACTGCCTCACCATCTCCACGTTCTCCCGAGTGAGGTTCTTGAGCTTCTCCTCCATCCGCTGGATGCTCTGCAGCAGGTCCTCATTCTTCTTGTTCATGCGCTTGTTCTTCTCCACCAGCGGCTTCAGCTGCACCTCAGTCTCCCGTGCCCGCTTCAGCTACAGCAGCAAGAGACACGGGCTCAGGAGGCTGCAAGGGTCCTCGGGCTGCTGGGCTCTGCCATCCAGGCGAGGGGATGGGGTGGCCACAGGGGCTCGGGCGGCCCGCTGGCCAGTGGCTGTGCTGTGCCCACCCTCCCACCTCGTCCACCGCCTGGGCATGACTCAGAGGTCAGGGGTCACACACAGCCACCTGGCTCCTCCTGCCCACCCTGCCTATTTCCCCTGTACAGAGGAGGCCGCAGCTCAGCAATGTTCAAAAAACAGACACACCATGGGCCAAGCCGGCCAGGCTCAGAGCTGGGCACACAGGTCCTCAGAGCAGGCGGTCCTGAGATACATGGGGTGCCACCAGGAACAGCCCCAATGTGCCCCTCTTGGCCATCTGGTCTCCACCCCCTGCCCCTGGGGACTTTGAAGCAGGAGGATTCTGTGGTCAGGTTGGCCTTCTAGAACCATCCATGGCTCTGACTGCAGTGTGGAGGCCAGATCAAGGAGCAGAGACCGTGAGAAGCCACCGATTGGGGGACAGGAAGGGGGACCCAGGCAGGTGCTATGCGACCAGAAGAGCCCACTCCTCCTCCTCTGCAGTGTCCCTGGTGACATGCTCGTTTTTTAGCTGCATAATCACAGTCAAGTTCCTCCCCTCAGTTTCCTCCTCTGCGGAAAGGGAACCATGAGAACACCTGCCCCAGACTGCACTGGGAATTAAATGCACAGTGGCTATCTCCACGGTGGTGCTTTAGTGAACAAAAATTAGAAAATAACATCCATCGACACCACGACAGTCATAAGCACAGCCCATGTACCGAGTCCTCACCATGGACTGACACAGCCCTGGCTCCTTCCTGCTGAACCCTCAGAGACCGGAGAGAAGGGTTCCACTGTTGCCAAAGGTCACCCGGATGTCTCAAATGCCTTGCACCACCCAGGCTGCATCAGGGGCCTTTGGCCTTTGGCTACTCTGGGAGCTTTTTGCTCCCGCTGCAGCCAGCTCCATGCACAGACCTAACTCAAATGACCCTACCCTGCATCCCCTCTAGATGACTCTGCCCTCTGCAGCCTCCTCAATCAGGTCCTCAAAGGGCCCTCCCCTACCCATGACCTAACAGGAAGTGTGACACTGCACATGCGCGAGACCACCCTTTTCCTTGGTAAACAGTCTCCTCACACCCTTAGCAGGTTCAGCCCACGTGCTGCTGGTCCTTACAGGGCAGTGGGAGTCCTAACAAACACTCTTCCCGATGCTGTGTTCCAGAGCATCATGATTGCTATCAGCACACAGCATGCTGAGCTGATACACCAGAGCCGGTGATGTCAAAGGCTGCTGGCACCGAAAACCGCCAGCAGCCAGTGCTGGTGGCACTGATGCAAAGAATCATTCTGTGCTGGTGACGCAGGAGCAGGGAATGATGGGGGAGCAATGGAGGGGAGTGGATCTGCCATCTTGGGGGCCGGAAGCGCTGAAGCCTGCTGACAGAGCTGGTGGCCCTGGGCTGTTACTGCCTAAAGAGCTACACTTTGCCAATTTGTGATTTCTGTAAGAACTGAACAAGAACTCTCAGCTTACAGCTAACATCTTGGAAGTGGTTATGGGGACCCTCCCCTCGAGAGGGCCTTGAGAAAGAGGGGGACAACAGTGACAGTCAAAAGCAGAGACAAGAGCCTGAGCACAGACCAGGTGCTAGAACCAAGAATCGAACACAGAGGACAGATTCCAGACCCCGGCTCCATCACCGACTGTGTGTGTTAAACACTGGCCACACCTGCTAAGATACAGAGGTACCATGGGGCCCGCTTCTACTTCTAGAATCTGCCTTGCAGAAATAAAGCTTCCAGCCCGGAAAGAGACAGGCGCCTACCAGGTGCATTTATAACAGCAAAAAACCGGTGCAGCCTCCTCATCCGGGGAATAGCTGGGCAGGCACAGTGCATCCACAGGACAGAGCGCAGGCTGCCCAGGACAGACCCCAACAGCTGTGGCTGACAGAATGGGGAGGGAAGTGAGTGGCACAGCACACAGGGCACAAATACCCACTGTGTCGCCACAAAGCCAAACCAAAGGCCTCGAGAGGGTGTTGAGGTGTGCATAAAGGCACCCCAGTCTCATGCGACTTGCGGATATAGCTAGTGATTAGAAGCTCAAAATCCTGGCAGATTCATCCCTTTCTCTTTTGAACACCTCAGCATGGTTATTTCAACCAATCTGCGTGTTTCCTAAACCACCCAGTAAATTACTCTGCAGCTAATGAGTATTTTTTTGGCTCAAGAATATTTAGTGAAAAGTGGAAACATATTAGATGTACAGTCTGATTAAAGCTGTATAAAATATGCCTTTAAAAATACTAGAAGCAGGGCCAGGGATTTAGCTCGGTGGTTCTGCTGCCTGCCTTGCAAGTGCAAGGTCCCGAGTTTGATCCCCAGTACCAAAAAAAAAAACACAAAAAACAAAACAAAACAAAATACTAGAAGTAAACCAGTTTATTTTGATACTGTTGAAATTGTAAAGAAGGGATACTTTTTAATACTTTTCATCTTCTATGTTTTAAAAATATTCTATAAGTACACTTCCCTTCATAATAAAAATCAGGATAAAGATAAAACACTATGAGCCGTTTGTCAAATAGTTTATGTTTTGCCTACTGCTATGTAAAAACGAGGCTAGCTATTTATCCTGTGAATTTAAACATATTGGTGAAATTGCTATTTTTATAGATTTTTTTTTTTTCGGTACAGGAGATCAAACTCAGGACCTTGCATTTATGAGGCAGATGCGGCACCACTGAGCTAAATCCCCAGCCCATAAGAGATTTATTTTTAACCAGAAGTCCATGTGTGTTATTCTAAAAATTAGAAGTATATGACCTTTAATGCAAAAGAAAGTAGAGGTTAGGAAAAACTGAAATTATCCATCATCCTCACACCACCCAAAAGAACAATTTTGCTATCCCGGATGATGATGATTTGTCTTTGGTTATAAACTGCTTTCATCATTTAATTTACTGAGCACCAAACACCCGCTCCACACTTCCCACTGAGCTCCTCCAACTGCTAAGGGTAAATCCCCGCAGAAGCAGCAGCAGCAGGCAGTAAGTGCATGTCTGATTTTAATAAAAAAGAAATGAGAAAGAAAGGAAAGAAATCTAGGAGGCCTCTGCGTGAACTTCACGGCCCGGGCCGTCTTCCCCTGCCCCTTCCCGGCCCCACACGACACCCTGTCACCAGCTGATTACCAGCTCGTTCCTCTCATCTGCCAACAGGGTATTTCTGTCTTCCAGCTTCCGGATCACTGAATTCAGCTCAGCAATTTTTAGTTGGAATCGCCTCGCATCTCGTTCATCCATATGCTGATCCTAAGGAAGAATTAAGAAACAAATGCACTCTGAAGGAGCTGAACCGACTCCGAGCACCCTGTAGAGCCTGGGAAAATTCCCATGATGACACAGCAGGTGAGCGCCACCTGGTGAGCTGACAGCACCCCACACCCTGCCACATACTTGGGGGCAGTCACGTCTAAGGCTTCAGACCCCTCAGTGGCCTGTGGGGCATGACACAGCCCTGGCCCACCTCTATATTGCATAGGCCCATCACACACAACTCGGCTGGCAGAACGGCCAGTACGATTCTCAAGGGTGGACTCTGTGTCCTTGGCCAGCGCAGAGCAGTCAATAGGATGCCCCTTATCCAGTGAATAAATGAATGCTTCAGCCTCCCCTGCCTGTGAAGGGCCAAGCTGTGGCCCCAAGGCCCTTCTGTTGGCACTGGCTGAGCTCCTCTTGGTCTTGCGGGGCTCTGCCTCTGTCACTCCCTGACTGCTTGGGTCCCCTCCTGAGCTCCACCGTGCACTCTGCTGTGAGGTCACCAGGTCTTGCAATGAGCTCCCTGGCACAGCAGGCAGAGGCAGGCTGTCTTCACCTCAATGTCCCAGTGTCCAGGGCCCAGCCGGGCTGCTGGTAGACATTAGTACATCTGGGAAGAGACACGGGAGGGAGGAAAGAACGTACGGATGGGAGGAGGAAGGCAGTCCGGCTGGCAGGACCATGACCAGCAGAAGAGGAATAGGCAGATGCAGCCCTCACCTGGTTGCCCATGAGCTCCGCCATGTCCCCGATGCCTGGCGGCAGCTCCCTCTTTGGGCTGCTGTGGTGCCGCTCAGCCTCCTTGACCTGGACCAGCTGCTCATCCAAAGCCTCTTTCTGCAGAAGCAGCCGCTGGGTCTGCCCAGCCTGCACACCCAGCTCCTTCTCCAGGGCCAAGATCACCCGGTCTTTCCCTTTGATCTCATCCATCTGGAAGAGAGAGGAGCAGTCACCGCAGGGCTCTGGCCAAGGAAACCTCTCCATGCTCCGGGGCTCGGGTGGTGTCAGCCGAGCTGGCACACTGGGGACACAGAGTAGTGCAGGGTCAAGAGCCCGGGCCTCACCTTACTCCCTGGAGAGCAGATGAGATGGAGCTCTGGGTCCAAGGTCCTACCAAGTCACCCCGACATGTGTCATAGCAATTCAGCCATGCACAGTCCGCCCCACCTTAAGGAAACACATGGAATCCTTACCAGAGGCTCAGCTGCTCTACCAGGTCCTCTGCTGCCTGTCCCCAGGCCTCCCTCATTCATCGACCCTCCTCTCTCTGGCCATTCACACCAGAAGTGGCCACTGTTCTCTTGGGCCCCAGCCACTGGATGATTGTCTGTTTTCCAGCTTTGATGTGACCAACACCCAACAGGGTCACCTGGACACCCAGTCACCTGCTGCCCACTTGGATACCTTGGTTTCTATCCTCTTTCCGGATGCAGAAGTGTCCTCGCACATGGCAGGAACTCCATGTGTAGCTGATGCTCAAAGGCACACGCCCACCCTGACTGCCCACACCAAAGCCACAGAGCTGGCTGGCTGCTGGCCTGCTTGACCTCGGGGGACCTCCCCTCTGGTCCCCCTGGTCCTGTCCAGCCTTCCCTGGGGCAGCAAGTCAGGCAGGCGACACAGCCTGCACACGCTGGGCCAGGTGACAGCAGGGAACAGAGCCAAAAGTTTACAGAGAAAGCTTTGGCCTCAGGCCATCCCTTCAACCTCACCCAAAGCTAAGGGTGGGAACTGCCCAGAGATGGCACTGGTGGGGTGGGGCAGCGCCCCATGTCCTTCCTGGGAGCTCCCAAGGTTACCTTTTTGGAAGCAGGGCTGATGCAGACACCGTTAGCTAAGGTGAGGCCATAATGGAGCACATGGTTCTTATGACTGGTGTCCTCACGAGGGAGTGGGGGACAAGGCCACATGAAGGGGAGGTGGAGACCAGAGGGATGCTGCCCCGACCATAGTGACACTGGGAGCAGGAGGCAGGAAGGCACAGGGTCCTACCCACACCCTGGCTCTGAGGCCAGGCTCGACCGTGAGCTGCACTTCTGATGTCCAAGCCACCCACTCTAACAGTGCCTTATCACAGCGGCCGCAGCAAAGGACAGCAGACAGGGAAGGGCAAGCTTTCCGATCACTGGAGTCAATTAACTGACAAAACCACAACAGCTTGAACTGCGGCAACCACCCTGCCATTGTGGGGTACAGCAACAAGTCTATTCCGATGTGGTACATAAAAAAGCTCTGTAGAAGAACACTGGTGCCCACCACTGTTTGCGGGGAAGGACAGACAGTAAGAAATATAAGGAGAAAGTAGATGCAGTACCGGACTTGAGAGCGATGAGAGCGAGGAGAAAACCAAGCACAGTGCAGGGAACCGGTACAGGAGCTGGGGAGCAAGGGCACAGGGCTTACACACACCCCACGCCCCAGTCACTACATAAAGGTTCCTAGAAAATATTCTCAACCAGTGCAGACAGCACCCAGGGATGCACGGATGGTGCAGAACATTCCGGAGCTGACGTCTTCCAGACTGCTGGTCTCCCAGCCAGACTCCTGAGGCTCCAGACATCAAGAGCCTGGCCAGGCCAACATGGCCAACGCCAAGCACTCTCACCATCTGCTCGTGTCTGGCTGGCTCCAGGCTGAGCTCTGGGAGATCCTGCCCCTGCCTCAGGAGCCCCACGGAGTGCAGTCACTGATGCTAAGCTCCCCAAGCCCTGAACCATTCACTGCTGCACAGGACCACCCTCATTTTCCTCCCTGTACCCATTTTCCCTTCTGCCACACCCCATTCTCGGAATGCGGATTAGGAGAGTGGGACTGAAACCACTCCACATTTCCAGGGCAGCCCGATTGGCTCATGCTGCTCGCATGGCCCACCCTGACAGTGATTGGTTTTTGGATGGATGGGATGGATACATGACCCAGTCAGAGCCAACATCCTGAAAAGCAAATCTCTAGGCCCCTCCTTTTGTCCTTCAGAGCTAAGGAGACCTTCGGCTGTGTTTAAGGATGTGGGTATGCACAGGGGTGGCATCTCACCAGCACAACCTCAGAGCCCATGGCCTCTGCATGTTGCGACAGGAGATGGGGCACAGCCCCCAAACCTGGATCTGGGTGACATCGTTTGTGTCCCTGGCACTGTGCTGGTGTGAGGTAGAATTCCCACCACTTGGAACCAAAAACCTCATGCTGACAGAGTCTGGGAAAGAGCAGCAAAGGTGACAAAGGCCATCACCTCTCCTTCCAGGCTTGTGTGATCTGGCGCCATGTCTGAACATCAGGGACTCACTCAAGCAATCTTCAACGCAGATGTCATTCACCCCATTTTACATGCAAACTTGAGGCCCAGAGAGCTGTATGTGTCCCCACTCCAGCTGGTGGCAGAACCATGACCCAAACTCAGATGGCCTCTCCTGGCCTTCCCTGTCCCCACTGCCCCACAGGACCAGGATCTGGTCACTTCTCACAGGCCCCTCCAGGATAGGCAGCTCAGGGGATCCGTAGCTTGGCCAGTTGTGAAAGGCCCAGCCATTTTGCCAACTTCCTTGCCAAGTTGAGGGGATCAAAGACTGAAGCAGAGGCCACCACCCCAACACCCATTCCCATCCTCCTCCCCTGGCGTGTGTGGGAGGGAGGACAGAATCCTCCAAGCTGCCACACCTACCTGGAAAGTCCGGACGGGACTCGCTTTGGAAAGAGGGCCTCTGCAGCCGTAATGAAGATGTACTTAAAGTAAGGTCATGCCGGGTTAGAGCGGGCCCCAAATCCACCCACTGGTGTCCCTATAAGGAGAGGACAAGCCGAGGACACCAAGGAGGGCCATACGAAGACGGAGCCTGGAGAGGTGCGGTGACACTCCAAGGAACGGCAGGGACGTCAGCCCCTGAAGAGGGCTTGGCGGCCACAGGAAGCTTCGTCCAGAACCTCTGCAGGGAGCATGGCCCTGCTGATCCCTTGGTTTCGGACTTCGGGGATGCTGAGAGGAAAAGGCTGTGTTATGGCGAACCAGCAGGTCAGTGTCGTCTGTTAGGGCAGCCCTAGACCAAGAGAGCGCCAGGCCCAGGCTCATTAGCAGCTGAGGGCACTGAGTGAAGGACAGTACTTCAAGGGGCCCTTGCAGCCAGCTGCAGCTGGGTAACTCTGGCCACCGAGGTGAGAGTTAGGAGGCTTCCAGAAGGAAAAGTGTTCTCCAACGAAGACCAAAGACGTAACACGGAGCTGAGAGGCTGCAGGCATTGGGCCACATCCCAGGGCCCCTTCTGAGCGACAAGCTGGGAGACACTTATGTCCCTCACAACCCTCTGGGGCCTCAAAAACCCCATGATCTCCAGACTTTAAAGGACAGAATTAGAACCTCGAAGCCCCTGGGGGTGTGGCAGAGTCCTCCATTGGGAACAGCCAGACCCAATCCTAACTGATCCAGGGAACATGCACAGACACCAGCACATCAGCACTCCATGGTGACCAGAAATGCCCTTCTTCCTGGCCTTTCTTCAGAGCCATATGAATTGTGGGAGTTTGAAAACCTCCTCGCAAGCCTAATCCACATGGCTGACCAGGGAGTGAAGCCGGAAGCCCACCTTCCCAGCATGCTGCCATGGGTGACAGACATGCCAGAGGAGCGACATTGGTCCACAGTGGATACCAGTAAAATGGACATCGTTCCTCCACTCCTGCTCCTCCACGTCCCTTTGCAAGCTGCACCCACACTGAGACACCTGAATTGGGGATATTTGTGTTTGGCCCTTGCTATGGTTTGTGTTTAGGTGCCCCCCCAAAGCCTCATGCAGATGAGGTGGGACTTTCTTTTTTAGAGGCCGTTGAATCTGGAACTGTGATGCAGGGGTTAAGGGCGTGTGATTACTAAACCACTACAGATGAGTGATTAGTTTGGCACCGCCCTAATCCCGGCAGTCTGGAAGGGATAAAAGAGCCAGTGCGCGCCATGCTGTTTCTCCTCTGTAGTCTGTTCGCCATCCCTGTCTTGGAGCCAGCTGACTATGGACCGAAACCTCTGAACTGTGAGCTAAATGAACCCCTTCCCCTTTAACTTTGGGTGTCGGGTATTTTGTCTCAGCAATGAGAGAAAAGTAAGTAACACAGCCCTAAAATTGGAAACAGCCTTCATGCCACCGAATCCTTGGTACCATTTAAATGTGTAAATACACAGGTTCTTTCCTGTTTTCCTTCTTTTAAATCTACACTGTGCCTGTAACAGAATATAGTTTACATGTCTCCTACTACAGAAATTACTAGCTGCTGGTGGATGCGCTAGTGCCTTTAATTCTCCTATCTCGGGGCAGATGTGTACTTAGCCCCATTTTACAGCAGAGGCACTGGAGGATCAGAGACAATAAGCTTCCCCGGAGTCACACCCCTCTCCTCCTGCTCCCCCCGCTGGGGAGCATCACTTACCTTGCACACTTCACATTGAGCCAGGCTGGTCTCTGGGGACAAAGCATCAAGGTGTCACCGGCCACCTGCTAAAGAGCGCCATGGCCTGGCCTTCCCTCCAGCCTGCCCCAGTGGGCATTTAGCTAATATCCCGTGAACGGATAACATTTCTATTTAGGAATTATGGTTTCCTAAGAGCACAAAATAGGGCTGGATGTAGCCCAGGGGTAGAACACTAACCTCGTATGCGCAAGGCCCTTTGTTCGATCTCCAGCACTGCCAAAAGAGCAGTAAAATAAAGCATATAGTAAAATCCCAGGGGCTGGGGATTTAGCTCAGTGGTTCCAGCACCTGCCTTGCAAGCCCAAGGTCCCGAGTTCGATCCCCGGTACCAAAATAAATAAATAGATAAATAAATAAAATCACTAAGAATTTTTGCCAGTACAGGGTCTAGCTTGGAGCAGACGCTCATTAAATGGAATTCCGCGGACAACTGTAAAACTGGAGCCTCTCTCCTGTCATTGTTGGGGTGAGGAATGGGA